CTTCCCACCCCTTGTCCTTCTCTGATGTCAGAAAAGGAAAGTGAAGACAAGAAAGAAATGGGACAGAAGGCCATATGTAGTTTTGAGATTGGGGTCATTGGGGAGAGGACCAGGTGATGAGGGGATGAGTCCAGACAGAAGGGGAGCCAGGGCCTCGTGGGGATGTGCCCGCTGGCTCCACAGAGGGCAGCCCTGCCCCGTCTTAACTTCTAAGTTCTTCAGTGGTAGAAACAGCACTGTACTTGGAGTTCTGGCTCTGAAACTGCCCACTACACAAGGCTTCCAACGCGTATATTCTGAGCTTGGGCACAGATTGACCTTGGAAGCAAAACCAAGTGCCTGTATATTGCATGCACGTGACCCACTAAAAGGGACTTGGTAGTCCATGATTGTTCGCGTTCCCCAGGTGTTGTAAGGCCCAGACATTGCAGAGAGGAGTCAGAAAGCTGGCCAGGGAGGGGACAGAGCCTAAAGCCAGCTCTTCTCCAGCAGTCCCTGCGAGCTCCCGGTCTCAGGACCTCCTCCAGAGGCAGACCCCTCATTGGAGTCTCTCTTCTGTGCTCCCGACAGTCCATGGCCATTAGTGCTCACAGCCTCTGGCTTCCACCATCTGCTGGGGAGCTAAGCTGCTCACACCTGCCTCAGCAGACACAAGCAATAAAAGACCAGGCTGGGTTTAGCGCCCCAGCCCCTGCCTGCCAGCTTCTGACCCTCCATGACTAGGGAACAGGACACACGGCCCCAATACAGCTCTGCCCCTGCCTATCCTGACACCTGGCACCCAGGCCATCTTTGTTCTTGTTCCTGGATGCCTCCTCCCAGGCCAGCTCAGGGACGTTTCCCTTCAGCTCACTCAGTCTCAACAGTAGTTACCAGGTACCCAGAAATGTCTGGACAGGGTTCCTTCTCAAGTGGCTGTTGTGAGTGGGATGTACACAGAACAAAAGAGCTTCTGTTCTCCTAAGTCTGGGCTGGGGACAGTTCTAGGCATTCAATTAAATAACAGAAGAGGGCCAGCAAGATGGCTCAGTTAAGGGTGCTTACCACAAAGCCTGATGACCTGAGTTCAATCCCTGGGACCCACATGATGGAAGGAGAGTACTGACTCCTGCAAGTTGTTTTCCAGCCCTAAAACACTCACCATGGCATGTGATGATCATGAACATACACACACACACATACATGCAAAGAAATAAATGCAATTTTTAATAAAACAGAAGAAATAGTGTACATATGCTAGTGATTTTGCCCACCATTGCATTAGTAAGTTCAGGCTCGGGTGGAGCATGAGCTGGGGACAGAAATCTACTTCCCCTTTATTGCTATCTTTCTCTCATAGCACAGTAAAGTAGTGAGGGTGGTGTATACATGTGTGCATGCAGGTGCGCATACATGTAGAGGCCAGAGGACAGCCTTAGCTTTTGTTCCTCAGGTACCATCCAGTTTGTTTTCTTTGAAAGGGCTCTCTCACTGGCCTAGAGCTCACCAAGCAGGCTAGACTGGCTGGCCAGCAAGGCCCAGGAATCTGCCTGTCTCTACCTCCCAGCCACTGGAGTTACAAGAACACATGTATCCTAGGGATTGAACTCAGGTCCTTGCACTTGCAAGACAAGCACTCTACCAAATGAACCATATCCGCGGCCTAAGCTAAACAGATTTCAAGATGCATCCTGCAGATTCTTGCAGAAGAGGCTATGAAATAGAAAGTCAGGACAGAGACCCAGGGGCCAGAAACACCCACTCCCACCTAACCTGTATCCTGCTGGGAGCCCAACTCCGCAGAGCCAGGTACAGCTGTCCATAGGTGGCCTCCCCCACAGCCAGCATTCTCCCTTGGCATGGCCCTGCTTAGAGGGCAATAGCCCAGGGAAAGGGATTCTCCTGGCCTAGAGCTGCAGGACTAGGCACCAGCTCCCCTCCAGACAAAGCACTCTGCCTGCACCTCCCCAGGAAGAATGCTGTGAGCCCGCAGCTGGTGACGCACAGCACTCAGCCATGGAAGGCCCATGCTGGCCACGACCTTTGGGTTTCCTGTGCTGTCTGATGCCCACACCAGAAGATATTGGGTATCTAGTCTAAGAGGCCCCTTGGGCCCTGAGGCTGCATGTGGCTATATAAAGCTAGGCTGTAGGGGACAGTGGGGCTGCCAGACCCTAGGAGCAATTAGGCTGCTCTTGGCAGTGACGTGGACCTTTCCTCAAAGCTTCATCAGTTAGCCCCTCAAAATGAGCCTGAATCATTCCCTCCAAACCTCAACCCCACCAGGCACACATCATGCCCAGACTCCAGCAGGGAGAGGAGGCTCAGAAGAAACTCTCTCATGAGGCCTCCAGCCCTGACACAAACTGGGAGCCCAGTTGGCTTCCCTCCTGGGGCCTCTATTTCTGCATCTCTGTTATGTGGACAGTAAACCCTGTCCTGCTTAGGACCTCCAGAGAAATGAGGTCTAAGAGAATGAAGATGGGACATTGGGAGCCACTCTCATTCTTTGAGAAAGATAAAGCTCAGTCTTAAAATTTGGTCACTATGACTTAGGGGATTTGCTGTCAAGCTGTCCGTCTTGGCCACTGCCAGGACATATGACCGCTAGGTGGCCATCAATCTTTATGCATCGCTTACACAGACATGGCCCCTTCTGTGTCTTAGTGTCTCTTAGCATCTGTGAGACAGTGGGCAGTTCAACAATCGTTAGCCCCATTTCATAGTCAGGAAAACTGAGGTCTAGTTGGCTAAATTTCTCCAGATCATGCAGCAAGCTGGTAACAGAACCAGGTTGGAAACTCAGCTCTTTGATTCTCAGCTAACATTCCATCTGCTACTGGGACTTCTCCAAGTAGGCCCTGGGACTTCATTGTTCCACTTTGAAATGGGAGCGGTAAGGAGTCCACTTAGAGCAGGCTGAAGACACATGGCATGCCTGTTCTAGAAGATGGTTGTCCTAATCAGAATATGTCATGGCTAGTCCTCCCACTGGCTCCCCAGGACTTGCTCCTTGAAGACACTCCATCTAGAAAGCTCCCACCCTCCTCTCTTTCCCTGGAATAATGGAGCAGCCTTGCCTACAAAATCTCATGAAGAAATTAAGTAGCCAAAACTTGTCTAGACAAACAGATTTTATGGGTCCAATTAATCCCTGCCAGTCAGAAAAAAGAACGCTTAATAAGGGGCTATATTTAGAATCTGTCATTATCTGGCTCCCTGAGGAGAAACCTCAGCTCTTATTTCACAGACATTTCATTTCTAACAGCTCTGTCAAACCCCACTTCGGCCTGGCCTCCTTCCTGACAGCCCCGAGATAGGCTAGGGCAGGGCCAGGGTAGCATCTGGCCACAAGGAGCTGCTGCTGACCTGTATAGCCAGAGCCCCTGTGTGGTCTAAGCCATTCTACCATCAGATCAGCTATGGCCAGTGGTTGCAAGAGAAGGGTCTTCAGGGCTCTGACTGTCCCACCTGTCCCACTGTTGTCTCTTCTGCAGACCTCAGGGTCTGGAAGCTTCCACCCTGTCCCTAAAAGTAGGCATCATTTCTCTCTGTCTCTCTCTGTCTCTCTCTGTCTCTCTCTGTCTCTCTCTCTCCCTGTCTCTCTCTCTGTCTCTGTCTCTCTCTTTCTCTCTCTCGTGTGTGAACACTCATATATGTGGGTGCACATGTGTGGAAACCAGAGATCAACCTCAGATGTTGTTTCTCAGGCACCATCTACCTTGTTTTTTTGAGGTGGGATCTCTCACTGACCTGAAACTTGCCAAATAGACTAAACTGGCTAGCCACTGAGTCCCAGATGTCCACCTATTTCTGCTTCTGTAGTGCTGGGATTAAACTACCAAGCCTGCCTTTTCTATGTCGGTTCTGGGACTCGAACTCAGTACCCAGCAAGCACTTTACCCACTGAGTCATCGCCCTATCCCTAAGCAGCACCATGCTTACGTTACTATTAGCTGTAGGTCTTTCAGCAGAGAGCTGGACAGGTGCCCAAGACCCAGAGAGCTCCAGGTGTGCCAGAGTGCCACACCACTGACACGTGGGCGACTGGCTGTCCAGGCTTTATTTCAGGTCCCATGGGGGCTCCTGTGGCCTCCTGGGTGTCTAGGTTCCCTGATAACACTGCCCCTAGAGGTTGGCTATGAGACACAGAGGCTGAAGGTGTGCCTAGGAGTGCCCCTAGGGCCACCATGTCATGTTGAGGAGTACCTCACCAGCCACAGGGGAGGCTATTCTAGCACACGTGTCCGCAGGGTCACAGGCCTTTCCTCTATGCATATCATGTGACTCATTTCCCTGGGAATGTGTATGCTCATGAGCAAGGTGTGCTCTTCCCAGGACTGCTGAACAGACAATAACAAGCAAGATAGCTTCAAACAGCAGGACTGGGTTCTGTTACAGACATAGAGGCCAGAACCAAAGTAACTTCAGGCCTGCCTCCCTGTTGGACTCTGAGGGAGAATCTTTCCTTGGTTCTTCTAAGTGCTAGGCACCTTTGGTGTCCCCTGCTTGTGGCTGCAGCATCTTTGATGGCCTGGCCTCCTCCTCTTCCCATGTCTCTCTGTGTGTCCTTCGTAAAACCTTTGTGATTGGATGTAAGGCCACTGGGTTCATTCAAGAGGATCTCAAGCCAACTTCTAGATGCAAAGACCCTCCACATAACCAGAAAGACCTGAGCCCAAGCAGGTGGCTTCCCTGGCCCTTTCTCCCCCAGGCTGCCTTGCCCCCCTGAAGCAGACTTAGTGGGCCCTGAACAACACACTCCACCCTTATCAGGCTGAAGGACATCCCTGTGAGATGAATGAGGCCCCTAAAGCTCTGCCCATCATCACCCCCCCCATAGCAGGGACACTGTTATAGACCCTGACAACAGGGTCTCCCAACTCAGTGCTAAGAGCCAAGTGGTCCTCACCAGGGTCCAGCCCTAGGCCTGAGGGTCTGCAGGAAGCCCCCACCTCTGTCCCATCTTCCTCTCCACCCATCACTACTTCCCCAGCTACTTGGATTCTCTCCCTTCACAGGTTGGTTGTAGGTGCCCCGCTGGAAACCAATGGCCATCAGATGACGGGTGACGTGTACAAGTGCCCAGTGACCCAGGGCAACTGCACCAAGCTTAACCTGGGTAAGTGGCCACTGGCCTTTTCGTAATGGAGCCAGCCACTTTGGGTACAGAGCAGAGTCTGGTACACAGCCATGTTCATGGTTGTGTGACTCTTTTCAGTCCATGCTGCATACAGAGCAGACTTTGATAAATGTCTGTGCTCACAGTTAACTGCCCCCTCCCAGCTGCTCTGTGAGGTACATTACTGTGCCCACATTATACTGTGAGGAAGCCAGGCTAGGGAAATGGCCCAGTTGGTAAAGTGTTTGCTTTGTGAGCATGAGGACCTGAGTCCAAACCCCAGAACCTCCTTAAAAAAGAGAAGCCGGGCATGGTAGCATCTGCTTGTAATCCCAGCACTGGGGACGCTGAGACAGGCAGATCTCTGGGGCTCAATAGCCAGCCAGCCTAGCCAGCTTGGTGAGTTTCAGGCCAGTGAGAGACCATATCTCCAAAAGAAAAAGAGAGTGCCTGAGAAACAACACCCAAGGTTGTCCTCTGACCTTCACATGCATGCACGCACGCACACACACAGGCATGCACATACGCACATACACACGCACACACACACACAGATGAAAGAGGAGACGTCTTTCCTTCAGTCACAGAGCTCAGCAGGGACTGACCAGAATTGAAAGTCAGGCCTCCAGAGTCTCAGGCCATACCACTTTCTGATTCATCCACTGTCCCATTGCTCAGGGCTCTCTGTCCCAGCAGGAAACACACACAGTCTTCTTTCTGATTTGAAACAACAGTAGCAGTAACTATCATCTGTGTGTTGTAGGAAACATTCACCATGGACCCAGGCCTGGCCTAAACTCCTTTAGATATTTCTGCTCACTCACTACCTGAGAATGACATTTGACCATTTGACAGATGAGAAAGTGGCAGAATGGAAAGGCAGAGGGCCTGCCTGCCCAGGACCACCTGCCTAGTAAACAGCAGGGCTAACATTCCAAGCCACACACATTCCAAGTCACCCTGTGGCTGCCGTGCAGTGGCCTTCCCAGGCATCCTCCCGCCTGGTTGGGGCAGAGCCCAGAGGAGATGCTGGGAGCAGCCTCCGGTCTCCCATGCCTGTGTGCGTGCACACACAAAAGTCCACTAAACACTTCCATCTTGACCTAAAAGACAGGCAGACAGTGGCTGGGATCGCTCTGCTCCCAGAAGGGAGCAAAATCCCACATGGACTGCAAAATTGTTATTCTCATGCCTTCCCTGAAACACTGGCCTCCCCAGATCGCCTCCTTCAGCCGGGTGACCTGTCTTAAAGAATCTCCCGAGGCTCCAAGAAGGAGGGGACAGGCAGGGCATCAGGCCCACAGGAGGAGATGACTGTAGTTCCAGAGATAAGCAGATGAAGGAAAGGGCCAACATTCAAGAAAAAGCTCAAAGAACTCAGATTCCCAGGGAGACCAGCTGTCTGTCAGTGGCACTGGAGACTCCTACAAACCGCAGTTGTGCCAGCACCGTGGGTGGGGAGTTCAAACCCCAGAGCTGCTGGGGCCCAGGGTTTGGTGGAAAGAAGCCTGTTAGGGGCTCACAGTGCCCAGTCTGAAGCACAGGCTTCTAACACAAGTCCAGCTGGGCTTCCCCTCTCAGCCATAATCTCCACTGTGTGTCTTTGGAAGGCACAGGTCCTGTCTTTGAGCCTTGGTTTACTCATGTGTAAAGTGAGGAAGGTGGACTCTAAGACCCTTAGAAGTCATTCCAGATCAACTCCAATCTTTGACTCTTAAAGAGCATTGAGTAGAGGGGTGGAAATGTGGCTCAGTTTGTAGAGTGCTTGCCCAGCATTCATGAAACCCTGGGCTCCACGTCCAGTATCTCATAACACAGGCATGGTAATGAACATCTCTAATTCTAGCACTTAAGAGGTAGAGGCAAAAAGATCAGGTGTTCAAGGTCATCCTCAACTACATAGTGAATTCTAGGCCAGCCTAATCTACATGAAAGAAACAGGAGGAAAGACAGCTGCCCCACCTCTACCCCAGGACAGTCCCCACTGCTGATTTGCCCCTGGCCTGTGCCCATCCTTGCCAACCAGTTCTCCAGACCCAGGTTACCTTGTCACACCTCAGTCTCTGACATAGCAGAATGCAAACTATTTGGGGTTAAGAATTCTCAAAGCCCCAAACAGGGAACATGGAGGTCTCCCTACAGCAGAGGGATGCTCTTGGGCAAGGTGCTGGCCAAGTGCCTTTTCCTCCCTGTGAGGGAACATCATCACATGGCAGGTGGGCAGAGAAGGGGCTATGGAATAGCTGAACAGGAGATGGTGAGCATTAGTGGCAAGGCCCTACACAGAGAGAGTTGCCTCTGGGTGCCATGGTCTGTTTGGGGTACTGTCAGCTGTTTAAACAAGGCTAAGTTCTAGGTTATAAAGTAGAAGGCTTTGCTTGGGCTTGCTGTGTGACCTTTTGCAGTTGCTAGGCCTCTCTGAGCTTCATTGTGTTCAGCTGCTGAGAAGCTGTAGGAAGGGATAAGACTACATTTGGAAAGATCCACATTGCCCTCCAGGCGAGTGATGGGCCTGGGCATCTCGGATGACCCACTGCAGCAGGCTGTGGGCAGAAGGCAGGCAGAAGGGGCTGCAGGCTGGACATCTCTCCTCTATCCCAGGCAGGGTCACTCTGTCCAATGTGTCTGAGAGGAAGGACAACATGCGCCTCGGCCTGAGCCTTGCCACCAACCCCAAGGACAACAGTTTCCTGGTAAGAGCCACCAACCTCCCTGCTGCCCCCAGCCTTTCCTGCCCGTACAAACCCACTACACAGGGTGGGGAGAGGCACAGCCAAACATCCACTCACACATGCTCCCACACATCCCTCACTTGCAGGTCCCCTCTGCCCTCTAGGCAGTCCTACAAGCCAACAGGGGCAGGCCCTGCATTCAGGCATGTCTTTCTGGTGGCCAGCCCTTTGTTTTGGTGAGTCCGGGAAGTGAAAGGATTGAGGCCTTTGTTTCCACAGCCAGGAGGTGTGTGGCACAGAAAGGACCAGAAAGAGTGATGACAGCCACAGTCTGGTGGGGGCCTGGACCATCCTTTGGAATACCAGCTGTCTGGAGAAAAGGCCAAATGTCCCCCAAGGTTATAAGAGGAGCAAGGCACACCTCACAGCTTAAGTTGGCTTTGTAGAGAAACCAAACTGAGTGAACACAGATCTATACAGGCGAAGGAAGGGAGCTTGGGGGGCAGGCCAGAAGCACTGTCAACCATTATGGGAGGAATCTTGCAGGAAGTTTTGTTTGTTTTCAAACCAGAGTCAGGTCTGAGCAAGGAAGAAAGGGGAGTGTGCCTGGGCTGCGGTGGGAGACATTAGTTCAGTTAAGTAATTGTCTGAGCATCCAGTGGGCACCACACCCATTGCAGAACAGCACGTACACAGCAGCAAGCAGAACTAGGCCCCTGAGACTTAAACATGTGATCAAGAGACTATAGGTAGATAAGGAGTATACATGGCACCAGAGACACAGACAGCAGCAGGCAATGTTGGAGGTGTCTGTCTCTGCCCATGTGTGCTCATGAGTGCTCTGCACAGTCAGAGGTCAATGGCAACACCTTCTTGCTACCACCTTAAAGTGAGCCACCCCGAGTGTGGCAACACTTGGGGTTCTGGGGTTGGCAGTCACTCTTCTGCTAACCTCATCTCGTATTCGTTACAAGGTGGTATGAGGATTCCAGGGAACTTCTGTGGGTAGATCCCTGGTTTAGCTCTTCACTCACTCAACCACTCACTGATTCACTTATCAGTCCATCTCCTCACTCGTCATCCACCCCTCCACTCATCTGCCCATCTGTCTGTACATCAATCCACCTACTCATCCTCCCTTTCAATCACCTATCCTTCCATCCCTTCCTACACCCATCCATCATCCCTTCCTACATCCATCCATCCTACATCCACCCCTTCATACATACATTCCTCATCCACTCATCTACCTGTCTGTCTATACATCAATCCACCTACCTCCTATCCTTCCATCCATCCCTTCCTTTCCTATATCTGCCCATCATTTATCCCTCCACTCACGTGTCCACGTGCCTGTGCACTGATTCATTTATTCATCCTTCTGTTCAATCACCCATCCTTCTAATCATCCCTTCTACATCTGTCCATCATCTGTCCACCCACCCATTCATCATCCCTCTGTCATCATTCATCCTACCATTCACCCATCACCTTTCTATCTACCCTTCCATTCTGTATTTCCTACACACTTCAACAAAAGACACAAAGCATAACCCCAGCACCTAGTTTTTTAAAAAAGAAAACTGATTAAAGAAAGAGTTTGAGAGTGTGTAGAACAACTATCTCCTAAGCCAAAGGGAATGATAGCCAAAGTATAGCCCAGGCTTCCTAGCAACAGGAGAAAGATAGAAGCCAGCAACTGGGCGGGCTTTCCTTCTCAACAGCCCTACTTCCTAGAGAAATACATCGTTGACCCTTCTGTGAGGGCCTGAGGTCAGTAGTTTTGGTACCAAATTTCACAGAACAGGCATTCCTTTTTTTTTTCCATAATAAGAGTCACATGGTGCCATTAAGCCTCTGTCTTGGAACTTCACCCAATAAGGGCCTCTACAGACAGGAATTAGTCTACTGACCTCTGAAACACCTGTTCCTATTGATGAAGGGCTTCCCCAAACCCTGTGGGGTGTGGGGAAGTAAGGGGAAGAGTCACTACCCTAGATTACAGAATAGGTGCCGGGATTTTTGTTCCCCATTTCCCCTGAAGCCGAGAGGACTGGTGCACACCACAGCAAGAGAGAGTTCAGTGAGACTTGGAGAAGGTCTCACACACCCTGAGCTGCCAGCACTCAGATAGAGATGTCTGTCTAGGGTCCTGGAGATTGGGGCTGGGCCCTCTCTGAACACCCTGTGACTGGGATTTATGTCATGCTGCTTCCCAGGCCTGCAGCCCTCTCTGGTCTCATGAGTGTGGGAGCTCGTACTACACCACCGGGATGTGCTCGAGAGTCAACTCCAACTTCAGATTCTCCAAGACTGTGGCCCCAGCACTTCAAAGTGAGTGGCTTCAACACCGAAGGCTCAGGCTGGCGGAGGGGGGGGGGGCAGTTCAGGCAGGAGGCCCAGGGTCTGACTACTGCTCTCTTATGGCTACAGAGCAGCATTTGGATTCTACAACTTCCCTGCCTCAGCCCTCTGGATGACCTGCGAGGAGCCACTTCTATCTAGGCCTCTGTAGGGTCTTCATCACTGACTGTCCACCTGCACATGTACAGCAGCCTGGGCATCACTCTCTTTTAGACTGCAGTGTGAATGATGTTACCTGGCATCTTGTAGTAGAGTAGTCTATAAATGGAGAAGCGAGGAGGGCAGAAATAACCTGGGAGATGGTTACACCCAGTCAACGCTCCTGAGGCAGCCTGCCCAGAGCCTCATAGACACAAAACCTCCCCCTCTCTCCCCAGCTGCTAAGCAAACTTGGATAGTTAAAAGACCAGACTTCTTGGCTCTGAGCCTCACCAGTTCCCCTGGGCTAAACACCCTCAGTAAGGAGCTGCTGCCAGTTTATAGAGGGCGAGGGGATTAGCACCTCTGGCTCAGCAGTCTCCCCGCCAGCAACAGGTGGGACAGCCAGGTCAGAAGGGGAGGTGACATTTGGGGAAGTGGAGGGAGGGGCAGTATCATCTAACAGAGTTAGACAGCTGTCCTCCAAAAGGGAGGACATTCCAGCGCACAGGGGGGTAGGGCATGTGAAGTTTCTCAGGGGGAACATCACAAACATCACAACTCTAAAGTTGCTGTCCACACCAGGCAGAGATTACATCAGTCAGTCTCCCTGCAGCAGAGGCCTGCTGATCTGGCCCACAGAGTGCTAGAGTGTTGTCCTGAGGTTCCAGGACACACACACACACACACACACACACACACACACACACACATACACAAACACACACACCATATATAACTTCTAACTCAGGGGACTTGGGAGAGGTTGAGGGGCATTTACCCAAGAGAATGTTCAGCCATGTTTAAGGACTACATACCTGAGGCTGGAGAGATAGTTCAGTCAACAGGGTGCTTGCCACATAAATCTGAAGACCTGTGCTCCTTCCCCAGCACCCACATAAACAGCCAACTTGGTAGCATGTACCTGTAATTCCAGCAAGTAACAAAGATGTAGAGACAGGAGGATCCCTGGGGCTCACTGGTTAGTCAGAGTAGTTGAATCAGTGAGGTCCCAGTTCAGTGAGAGACCCTATCTCAAAAAATAAGGTGGATGCTGGGGAGATGGTTCAGTGGTTAAGAGCACTGGCTACTCTTGCAGAGGACCTGGGTTCAGTTCCCAGCACCAACATTGTGGTACCCCCCCACATAATTCCAGTTCGAGGGGATCTGATGCCCTCTTCTGGACTCCATGGGCATTACACAACACAGATGCACTTACATACGTGTAGGCAAAGCACTCATACGTATAAAATAAAAATAAATAGATCCCCCCAAAGTTATTACTTTTATTTTATGTGCACTCGTGTCATGAAATGCCTGTGGAGTGCAGAAGAGGGCATCAGATCCCCTGGAACTGGAGTTACAGATAGTTGTTAGCCACTGTGTGGGTGCTAGGAACCAAACCCAGGTTCTCTGCAAGAGCCAGTACTCTTAACTGATGAGCCATCTCTCTAGCTCCCCCACCAAAAAAAAAATTTGAGGAAGACACCTAATGTAGACACACCCCTATGCATATACATGCATGTGTGCACACATGAACACATATGTACACATACACAAAAAACCCACAGACCCAAAGGCAGATTCTTCCTAATGCCTCTTTTTAGAAGCAATGAAGTTATAAGAGAAATAAAAATAAAAGCATTCTAATAATAAAACTGGTTTTAGAACAAAAGAATCCCTGTCCCTACTCATAGACTGAATTCGGAATAGACACGCTTGTCGGGGTTTCTTCTTCAGCCCAGAGCAATGCAGGGCTCCAGGGCATAGTGCCCTCCATTTGAATGTGTTGAAATAAAGTGAGACTGGGAAAGATTAAACCCTCAGACTCTAAGAGTCAAGTCACCTTGTACAGTACACAGCCTGCAGGTGGCACAGAGGAACTGGTCATCCAAGTCACCTGCAAACCTCTCCATCAAACACAAAGCCTGGGCAGACAGGTGGACTCAAAGCTGCTCTACCTTCCTCTGTCAAGGGAACATTGGGTCCAACACAATGCACCCTTCAAATGCAAGGGTGGCAGGAATAATGGGAACCCAAGGGGCTTGTGATGTGATTGTAAGGTAGATTTTATGACAGTAAGAAAATTTTCCAGTGAAAATAAGCAGGTGCCCACAAGCAGACTGTGTGCTGTGCTTCACGGCCACCTCAGCCATCCGCAGAGGCTGCTAAGATTTTCAAAAGAAGCTTTTTATGTGTGTCAAGTACTCATGTTTCAGTCATTTTCTTTGTTGGTTTTTATTACTCCTTTTTTAAATTAATTAATTTTTTTTGACAGGGTCTCTCTAGTTCCTGGAACTCACTATGTAGACCAGGCTGGCCTCCATCTCACAGAGATCCGCCTGCCTCTGTCTCCCAAGGGCAGGAGTTACAGGCACACACCACCAAACCTGGCTCTATTGCTCTTTTAATTTGGTATTCATATTACAAGAATAAAGAAAGGTGCTTGTTGCTAAAGCATGAGGACCTGAATTCAAATCCCCAGGACCCACATAAAAAACCAAGTGTGGTGGCACTTGCTTTTAATCCTAGTGCTAGGGAGGTGGAGCCAGGAGGATCCCTGGGGTTTGCTGGCCAATCAGTCAAGCCTACTCAGTGAGCTCAATGTCCCAGTGAGAGATCCTGTCTTAAAAAACAAAGTGTGGTAGGGGGCTGGAGAGATGATTCATCGGTTAAGAGCACTGGCTGCTCTTGCAGAGGACCAGAGTTCAATTCCCAGCACTCAAGTGGCGACTAACAACCATTCGTAATTCCAGTCCCAGGGGAATCCAACATCCTCTTCTGACCATGGGCATTGCATGACACTGGCACAGCCACTTACATGCAAGCAATACACTCAGACACATAAAATTAAAATAATAAATAATTTTTTTAATCAACAAATTAGATGGCTGCTAAGGGGAAACAACACTCAAGGTTGACCTCTGACTTCTACACACATGCACACATAGAGTGAAAACAGGCTGGGCATGGTGGTACATGCCTATAATCCTAGCACTAAGGAAGTGAGAGTAGGAAGATCGGGTTTAAGGTCATCCTCAGCTGATGAACAAATTCCAGGCTAGCCTGGCCTACAGAAGACCTTGTCTCAAAAAAAAAGGAGTAAAAATGGAGTCAGTTAAGTTTTACTGAGTCCATGCCTTGTGCTTATCACTTTTAAATTTTTTTCAATATTTTATTTATTTTTATTTTATGTGTATGAATGTATGCAATGCCTGCGGAGGACAGAAGAAGCTGTCGGATCCTCTGGAACTGGAGTTAGACAGTTGTTAGCTGCCATGTGGGTGCTGGGACTCAAACCCAGGTCTTCTGCAAGAACCACCAGTGTTCTTAACCACCGAGCCATTTCTCCAGCCCCGTCACTTTTAAACTTTTTTTTATTTTAAGAACACTGTTTTGCCTGAACATATGTAAGTGCATCACATGCTATTCCATAGCAGAAAACTGAGGCAGAGAAGTTGAATGACTGCCCTTAGATCACACAGCCAACAGGTAGCAAGGCCAGGACCCACAAGATGATGCTGGGTCCACATTCCCATCCCTTCCTCCATGACCCTTCCCTAAAGAATGAAATCCATTTATTTGGGTTGCAAGTGGCAGGTGTCATCTGCCCATGACAGTAAAGCAAATGGTAACAAGGTCCTGATTTGGGCAAGTCCAGCTGCCCCAGAAGCACTGGCCAGTCAGCAATAGTTCTGATGAGGAGCAGGGAAGTTAGGCTCAGTTTCAGCTTTGTTCAAGCAGCCCACCTTGTGATGGGACAGACCTAAGACCTGCTGGATGCCTGGCTCCTGTTGCTCAAGTAAATGCCTAGCCTGAGGGCGACTCTCAGCGCGGGAGGCAGACATTAGTAGTCATTTTTCATCATTCTTTGAAAGATCACTTAGAATATCAGCGGCTTGGGGCTGGGCAGATGGCTCAGTAGGTAAAGTGCTTGCCACCCAAGCATGAGGGCCTGAGTTCAATCCCCAGCACCCCGATAATAGGCCCCATATGGTGGTACAAGCTTGCTATCCCAGCACTGAAAGGCAGAGACAGGTAGATCTCTGGGGCTTGCTGACCAGCCAGCCAAGGGAAAAAATAGGAAGTGGTGGGGGGACCCAGATCATAAAATTAAGATGGATGGCTTCTGAGGAATGACACATGAGGCTGACCTCTGGCTTCTACATGCATGTACATACATGTGCACCCACATATACAAATAATACAAAGGTTTTTCTTTCTCAACTAAGTAGGAATATCAGAAACTTGTAGACAATGTCTCCTTGGTGGCCCTGACTGTATCCCCCCTTCCAGGGTGCCAGACCTACATGGACATCATCATTGTTCTGGATGGTTCCAACAGCATCTACCCCTGGGTGGAGGTCCAGCACTTCCTCATCAACATCCTGAAGAAGTTTTACATCGGGCCAGGCCAGATCCAGGTGAGTGACTCCAGGACTCTGCTCTGCTCAGCAGGACCCCTAAGCCCATGATCTGTGTAGCCCTACAGCATTGGGAAGCATCTTTGAATAAAAGGGTAGGAGCTAGCAGCCAGCACCAGGACCTGCTGCTGAAGATGCCCCTCTCTGGTAGGCATGCCAAGAGTGTCTTCAGGGGTGGACTGCATTTATGAAGATTGACCAGCAATAGAATGGGTGAACGCAGGAAAGGACTAACCCAAACAAGAAGAATGTGGAAAGAGGCCGGGCAGAGTCGAGCACCAAGACCCTGCGGAGAAGGGGACTAGGAGTAGGCCACAGCTGCCCTCGTTTATAACACACTGCCTGAATACAGGGTTAGATTTGTTCCCTAGTATTTTGGCTGAATGAGGATCAAGACACAGAAGTGCCAAAGTGACAGGTGTCAGTCATGCTAAAAGTTATTTATGGGCTAGGGGAACAATTCAGTTGGTAAAGTGCTTGCCTTGCACACATGAGGGATTGAGTTCAATTTCAAGAAAGAATCCACACAAAAATGCTGGGCATGGTAGCACACACTTGTAATCCCTGTGCTGTGGAGGTAGACAGGAAGATCCCAGGAGCTCATCGGTCAGCTAATCTAGCCTTAACTGGTCCAGTGGTCCAGTGAGAGGCCCTATCTCAAAGGGATAAGACAGAGCGTGATACATCAGGGCACATTCTTCTCTGACCTCCTCACATGCACAGGTGTGTGCATCTGCTCACATACACACACACCACAAACACCACACACACATACCATACCAGGCCAGTGAGAGACCCTGTCTCAAAGGAGTAGACAGGTGGGCAGCGTTTCTGAGGATGACATCCAACATTGTCCCCCAGCTTCCCTGCCCACACACTGGCACACACAAACACACGCAGACACCTATAAAACAAAATAATTTTTAAAAGGAAGAAATTAAAGCTGGGGGAGATGACTCACTGAGCACTTGCTATAAGCATAAGGACCTGAGTTCAAATCCCTGACACCCACAAAAAAACCAAGTGTGGCTGTGCACACCTATGGGCGAGTGGGTTTCGCGGAGCGCCAGCTGCTGTCTGGCGCTTGTCCCTTGAACTTTCAGGTGCTCCGCAGGGGCTAGTTAATTTAAATTCTCATCTAACTGGTTTTAGCTGTGGTCTGAGTGCCCTGGGGGCAGGGTAACAAAACCGATTAGGGAAGTTTACCTTAGAACCTGACTCTAAGGCTTACGTGAAGATCCCTTAGAACTTTTGGGATTTTTCTAGCGGTGTTGAGATAGAAAAAGTGGGGTGAAGTGCTGGTTTCTAATGAAACGTGCCTGAGATCAAAATCTCAGGGGATTTCGCTTAGCTCCCAACACAAGCCTTCCCGCAGATTTAAGAAACTGGCGGCCGTCCTAAGGACTCTTAAGTGGCCGCTGCGTCTTTTGTCTCCACCTGTGCAGGCAGTTGGAGCTCTTTAGGGGGCAGAGAGGCCTTCAGCTGACGTCAGGGAGTAGCCCTGACCAGAAAGCTTTAGTTGCCTCTCTTTCTTTAATGTTCTCACGCGAAGACTCAGACCGGAAATAAAAGGAGGAAAATAGAAGAGATTTGCCAGGCCCCACGAGTGGGGTGGCTTGGGGGCACAGCTGCCTTTTTATTCTCCTGATGGGAGACGAAAGAAAGAGATTTGCCAGGCCCCACGAGTGGGGTGGCTTGGGTAGGCACAGCTGCCTTTTTTAGTCTCCTGATGGGAGATGAAGGAAAAAGAGAGATTTCTGTTGCTCTCCTGGTGGGAGAGATACTCACGAATTCTGCGTTTCAGGGGGTGCCAGCTGCTGGCTGGCATGGAGTTCAGAGGCCCCACGTTGGGCGCCAGATATGGGCGGGTCCCGCGCACCGCGTTGCTGCTTGGGTCCCTGGCTCTCCGTGTTGCTGGGGTGCGCGCGTGTCACGCACTGCGTTGCTGAGGCTCTCCACGACTACTGGATGCTGGTGACTCTACTGGTCACTGCGTTTCCAGGCGGGTTCCGTTCCAAGCTACCGGCACTCCCTCTATGTTCGAGATCCGTCAGCCACGTCAGGTCATGAGGGGAGGTGCAGGAAGGCGAAAGCAAAATCTCCACAAGTCCTTGTTTACGAAGGGACAGCCCCCTCCGGAGAGACTGAATAAGAGACTGGTGCAGATCAGCTCCTGATGCAGCTCCAATTTATTAAGGGGAAAACCAGGATATTTATAGTGTGAAGGCAGTGGCAAAAGCCTTAGTTGATAGGTGCTTTGTAGGATGCCCCATTTACATGTGGTGGTGGGCTTCTGCCAGGCTGTCAGACATTGCCTGATTATCACACAGGAAAACCTGGCAGTTCCTATGCCAGAGGCCATGTATCTGTGAAGGCTACTTCAAAGATGAGTCAGGAAGAGAGTAGGGGGGTGCCCTGCTGAGAAAAGGAGTCTCTGCATAAGAACGCCAAGCCCCTTGGGCTATCCAGACATGGAGAGACTTCGACTTAACACAGCAGGGGTCCCCAACACACACCTACAACACCAGTGCTATGAGAGGCAGAGAAAGACAGGAGGATGGCTGGGGCTTGCTGCCAGCCTAGCTCCAGGTCCAGTGGTCCAGTGAGAGGTGCTATCTCAAGGGAATAAGGCACATCATGATAGAACAGGGCACGTTCTTCTCTGGCCTCTCCTATGCATGGGTGTGTGCATCTGCTCACACACACATACACCACACATACCATACACACATATACCACACACATGCATATCACACACATACTCCACACACACACACACACACACACACACACACCCCACAAATTTTTCAAGAAATGATCTCTAACAAGTAGGGTTGTTAAAAAAGGAGTGGACTCCTGGAGTGACCAGCTCCCTCCCACCGGAAGACAGTCTGTTGGAGCACTGGAATGAGAGTCAGCTCACCAAGTCACCTTGGCAGGCCCAACCAACAGCGCTGTGTTACCACCCCACTGAGTCCCTGCTACAGGTCTTTAAGGTTTGTTGTTATTTCAAAGCTGTCAGTGTCATCAGTATATTATCAACTCTGAGGATGCTAGACCTCTTCTCTTCCAAGTTTTAGGAGCCCTTAGTTCCAGAGTGTGTCATCAACCCTATGGCCTTCCCATACTCTGGTAATTTTTTTTTCTTTGGTGTGGGAAGTTATGTTTGTAGTGTATGTATGTGTTATGTGTTCATGTGGGTGTGTGCACGGATGTGTGCACATGTGTAGATTTATGGAGACCAGAAGTTTATATCAGTTGTCTTTCTGCATTTTCTGAGACAGTCTCACTGAGCCTGGAGCTCACTGACGTGGCTAGGCTGGCTGGCCAAGAGCTCCAGGGATCCACCTTCCTCTGCCCTCTGTCTCCAGCACTGAGATTACAGATGCACACCATCACACTCAGCTTTTACATAGATGCTGGAGATCTGGGGTCAGGTCCTTATGCCTGCATGGCAAGTGCTTTACCAACTGAGCCATCTCCCCAGCCCCTGCTCCTGGTATTTTAGACTTCTATTCTCTGCTCAGGGTTTGTCTTCTTAAGGAAGACCTTTCACCTGACAGGCCTTCCCTCCCATCACCAACTCCCTTTCTCTGTGCCCCCAACTTGTCCCACCTGCTCACTTCCTGAACTCTGCAGAGCCTGCTTTCCTTGGTGACCTCTGGGAAGGGTGACTGTCACAGAGGAGACCCTCATGGGTGGAGGTGCAATCTCAGCATTCTGCTGTCTTCTGCTCTGATTTACAGGTCGGAGTCGTTCAGTATGGAGAAGATGCAGTCCACGAGTTTCACCTCAATGACTACAGGTCTGTCAAGGATGTGGTGGAAGCTGCCAGCCACATTGAGCAAAGAGGGGGAACAGAGACCCGGACAGCATTTGGCATTGAATTTGCCCGGTAAAAAAAAAAAAAAAAAAAACAGATCTCAGATACTGTTCTAGCTATCCATTGCTTTGCACAGCAATACCACCATTTAGTACCTTCAAACAATGACTTGTTAATTTCTCAGAGTCCTGGCAGTGGGTGAGGCTCAGGTACTTAGTTCTCTCTTGGGTCCTCTTATGTGGTTATAATCTGATGTCAGCTAGAACTGTTGTCACCTGAAAGTTCAACTGGGCTGCACATACTGGACACGCACTCATAGCCAACAAGAGCATACTCTGGCTGGCAATCAAAGCACATGCTGAGGTCATCTGGCTTCATTTCCTGATATTGTTACAGGGTTTCTTGGCTCTTGTCTTTTTTAGAAAATTCAGTCAAAAGATGTAGACAGTTGAAGCAGAAGTTTATTTAGCAAAGCTAAGCAAAGCAAACAGTCCGAAGAGAGATTGAAGTAGGCTGGCCTGAACTGGGAGCCGACTAGTAAATTCTGCAATGTGGATTTTCTTAGATATTTATGAACATTTATGAGGTGGGTAGCATTTCTGTGGGGTAAAGAGACTCCTTTCTCTCCCAAATCATGATGGATCAGATCTTTTTAGGTATTTCTTCCCAAGATTCCCCTAAAAGTGATATTATAATGCAGACCTTTGATAGTGCATACATGTGGGGGAATGCCCTTGTGCCTTAGTTTCCAATTTAACAGGAATAATCTAGCTGAAGCTTCAAAGATGTTTAACCACCAAGAGACATATAAGCACCAGGAGACACAGCTACCAAGCTCTAGATGAGGTTTTTGTCAGTGACCTCATAGCCAAGTTGCCTACTCAGTATTATCATGACATCTGGGCATTCCCAAGATCAGCTCTCCAAAAGACCAAGGAGGAACTGGGAGACCACCTACCACCTAGATTCAAAGTCCCAGAGTGTAACTTTGAGCACTTTCCATTAGCCAAGCAAGCTCCCAAAGGCCAGACGAGAAGCAAAGGGAAGAGGATGTGATTCCACCTCTTGATGGAGGAATGTCCAGGTCACCTGGCAGAAAGGCATTTGGAGAGGGGGATATACAGCCAACTTTGGAAACATGTTTTGTCATAGTCTATAGAAACACATGAGAGGCTGGGGCTATAGCTCAGTGGCAAAAGATTTGCCTAGCATGCATGAAGCTCTAGGTTCCATGCCAAGAAATATATAAATCAGATGTGGTAGTACACACCTATAATCCCAACATGGGGCTGGAGATGTGCCTTGATGGTAGAGTGTTTGCCTAACATGGGCAAAGCCATGATCCATCTTACAACACAGGAAGGAAGGGAGGAAAGAAGGGAGGGAGGAGGGAGAGAAGAAAAGAGGGAGAGAAAGAAGGAGGGAGAAAGGGAGGGAGAGAGGCAAAGAAAGAGGGAGGGAGGGGAGGAATAACAGAAGGAGGGAGGGAAGGGGAGGGGAGGAGGGAGGGAAGGAGATAAGCATGTAGCTTTTAAGTGCAGAATCTTTCGATGTAGTGTGCATCTCTGGTGGAGTGAAAGAACACAGGTTGTAGTGAAACTAGTTCCTTAAAAATCATACTAGCACGCACTCATCCAAATGAATGCAACTCTAGACATTGTCCCCACAATTCATGGGCTTATTCCAGCAACTCTGTCCTTGATGAAATCCTCACGCTTACCCTGATGAAATTGGCCGGTTTTGAAGGTAATTCCCCAAGAGCTCATGAGCCAAGGCCTAGACTCCTACAGTGACTATGTGAAAAGCATTTGGGTTTGAAGTATGTGACTGGCACATCTATGATGAATTCTGCTTCCATCATTGAGACCACGGCCCCATTACGTTGTAGTCCTACCTCATTAGGGCTGGTGGATGTGTTTAACAGAATCCCAGAGTGTAAGAGCCATTCATGTCTCATGACTTTGTGTGGTCAAAAGTTTAAAACTCCAACCTTACAGCTCTTTCTGATGAAGTCACCACTTAGCTAGTGAGTTTCTGATAAAATTGCTCTGGTGCTTCCTAAGTGAGCCCACTTCCACATGAAGACGGCTCTCCACTCATCCTTAAAGGACTGGATCATCTGGCTGTTTGACCGTCCTTGGAGTGACACCAGAGACTTCCACAGCCCCTTCTGATGGCTGAGCAATGACGGAAGCCAGTGACCACTGGACTGTCACTTTCCCACTGAGAAGCTAAGTGACTCAGGCAGGGATGAAGCTCACTGCTCATTTTGCAGCCCACCAACCTCAGGTCAATGACATGAATGTGACTTGCCAGGTGTTTTGTGCCATAAGCACTGCAGGGACTGAAATCTCCTTCTCAAATGAAATGTGAAATTCTAGCTAATGCCTTGACTGATTGATTGATTGATTGATTGATCGATCGATTGGTCAATCAATTGCTGTGCTTGGGATGGAACCCAGGGTCCCATTATTCTAGGCAATTACTCTCCCACTGAGCTATACTTCTTGCCTTTTAGATTTTTTTTTTTTTGTCTTGGAATAAGGTCTTGCTACATAGCCCAGGCCAACTTCCAGCCTCCCAAGTAGCTGGAATTATCACCAGGCACTCAGCTGATGCCTTTGAAAGTGAAAGGTTTTCTCTCATTTGGTTATTTGTAATGTGTTTTACTGTTGATACTTTTGTGTTCTGTTTCTTTGTGAACCAACTACAGAACAGATCAAGACCACAGACTCAAGGGGTTATGAAAATGGTTACCTGCCATCTCAGGCCTTGGTGACTCCCAGCTAGCAGAAAGTTTCTGACAAGTATTAACCCTACTCCTTACTCAATTTGAGAGAGATGACGTCTGCCAGGGAGACCTGCCAACAGGGGGACGGGGTACTGAGCATGACCTTGAGCAGAGCTGAGGGTTCTGACAAGTCAGGGAGCTGGGGGGGCGGATTCTGGCCTGAGTTAACAGCTCTAAGACTCAGCATGTGCCCGGAACCTTCTAGAATCAGTAAAGAGCCCAGGCAGAGGGGAGTAGGTGGCTCACAGAGGTGACGGTGGACTACCAAGACCTGGCTCACCTTTTTTATGATCTGGGCCTAAGAAAAATGGAGCCAATGAAGGTTTTGAGCAGAAAAGGAGCTAAATTTCCCTGGGTTTTCTGCTTTTTAAAGTAGTGCCACCTGTTGCAAATATAAAATGTTCACTGCCCTCAAGGAATTTATAATCTAATTTACAAAGGAACAAATCCAAGTCCCTTCATGCAACACAAATCACCGTTTAAAACTTGCACTATGCCGGATTCTTAGACATAATTCTAGTCTGCCCCGGAAACACGATCCTTGCATTTTTCTTGGCCCCGTATGTAACAAAATATCTTTCCCCATGCCATACTTTTTTTTGCATGGTGTTTTATTCCTAGGCCTGGCCCTTTGATGAGGTCATGGAAGCATCTAGAATCCCCTTTGAGAGAAGAACAGATTTCTTCCTCCACTAGGTTGGGCTTCAAACTCTGCTCTGGCCATATTACATGCCCTGTGGCCCATCCACAGCTCACACTAAAATTAAAGGTGTTTTTTTTTTTTCTACTCAACATATCCAGAATGTGACAGAGATACTGAGAGAATGGCAGGTGGCTTTTCTTCTTCGTTAGCAGCTTGAAGAGACTCCAGACTCACTCATGTGTAAATCCCTTAACAACTGACTCTTGCACATCAGCTCAGCAGCTGGCCAAGACACGAGATGCTTCTACAAGCCTTCTGGTCCTCCCACCTGTCACCATCGAGCTTAAGTCATGGGGCCATTCTCCCTACCTCACTATGGGCCAGACTCATAGCAGTGAATGATCACAGTGCCTAAGAGTGGCATTCAGTTTTACAACCTTTTTGGAAAATTCTACCTGCTGGGCCAGGTTCTTGGGTGACACCATATCCATACTTCTCAGAAACCTGGGTCTAAAGGAAGACTAGATGCAGAGGCACCAAGGGCCAGTTTTTCATTCTTTGACACTGATTACCAGATATAAGTCCCTTGGCCATATGCTCAAAGTGCTGAAAACACAATTTTAAAAAGTGAGTAAGAGAGGTTGGAGAGGGCAGGAGAGATGGTTCAGCGATTAAGGGCACTGGCTGCTCTTGCAGAAGACCTGGGTTCAGTTCCCAGCACCCTCATGGTGGCTACAACCATCTATAACTCCAGTTCCAGGAGATTTGACACCCTCTTCTGGCCTCCTCAAGCATTGCATGACATGGGTGCACTCACATGCAGGCAAAACACTCATACACATAAAATTAAAAATAATAAATAAAGGGGCTAAAGAGATTGCATGACATGGGTGCACTTACATGCAGGCAAAACACTCATACACATAAAATTAAAAATAATAAATAAAGAGGCTGCAGAGATGGCTCAGAGGTTAAGAACACTGACCATTCTTGCAGAAGACCCAGGTTCGAATCCCAGCACCCACATGTCAGCTAACAGCTGTCCGTAACTCCAGTTCCAGGGGATCCGACAGCCTCTTCTGTCTTCTGCGGGCATTGCACGACATGGGTGCATTTACCTACACGCAGGCAATACACACACGCACATAAAATAAAATAAATAAAATATTTTTTAAAATAATTAAATAAAATATTTTTTAAGTGGCCAGAGAGATGGCTCAGAGGTTAACAGCACTTGCTGTTCTTGCAGAGGACCAGAGTTTGGTTCCCAGCACCCTTACAAGGCAGCTCACAACCACCTATAACTCCAGCTCTGGGGCATCTGATACCCTCCACAGGCACACACACGCAAAAGGCATGCACTCATACAGACACATACCTATAAATAAAAAATCAAAGTAAGTCTTTAAGGAAACGTGAATAAGAGAAATATTTTCCATGAGTCTGCTATTTAATAGTTTTACAAATAGATCAAAGGGCTACTTGTGAGATGTCTGAAGATTGACAGATTTTGTTATACATGTGCTGGGGGCCAGAGGTTTGGATGTTGAATTATCCTGTCACCTCTTCTGCTCAGTCCTTCGGGAGATAGTATGTGACTCTGGACATGTAGTGAAACTTTTTTAAACTATTGATGCTGGGCTGGGAGATGGCTCAATGGGCAAAGAGCTTGCGGTGCAAGTTTGAAACCAGAGTTCAGATCACCAGCACCCACATACGTACCAAGTGGGCATAGTGGCCCACCTGTAATCCAAATAGAGGCAGAAACAGGGGATCCCCAGAGCAAGCTGCTAGCTAAAGTAGCCAAACCAGCAAGCCCGAAGTACGAGTGAGAGACCTACCTCAATATATAAGGTGGAGAACAAGGAAGGAAGACACCCAGCATCAACCTCAGGCCTCCACACACACATGCATACATGTGCTGACACACTCTCACATGTGTATCCACACACATAACACACATACACACATATGCACACCATATACACTTGCAAAAAATATAAATAAATAAGGAAAGAAAGAAAGAATAAAATATCAATGCCCAGGCCAGTCCCACCACTTGAATATCTGATCTCATGGGTCTGGGTAGGGGCCAGGCATCAGAAATTTTTAAAACTCCCCTCAAGAGACTGTAATGTACAGCTGGTTTCTGAGCCACTGACATCTCTCCTAAAGGCTGTCCAATTCTGATCTCCCCTCCTCCTCACCCTCTCTGCCTACCCAAAGCAGAAAGGTGAGAAGTCCTAAGAAGATTTTTTTTTGTCTTTTTGAGACAGGGTCTCCCTGTAGCCCCAGCTGTCCTGGAACTTACTATGTAGACCAGGCTGGCCTTGAGTTCACAGAGATCCGCTTACCTCTGTCCCCCGAGTGCTGGGATTAAAGGCGTGCACCACCACGCCCAGCTCTAAGAGGATTTTTAATACTACTTTTTAAAAACACACAGGGACCTGGAAAAATGGCTCAGAGATTAAGAGCACTGATTGCTCTTGCAGAGGACTGTTTTCAAGTCCAGCATCCATATGGTTGTTAACAACCATCCATAACTCCAGTTCCAGGGGATCTGACACCTTCTTCTGACCTCCACAGGCATTGCACAACACAAGTGCACTTACGCACATGCAGGCAATACACTCATACACATAAAATAAAAAAATAATAAATAAAATATTTTTAAAACACAGAGATCTGGGGTTAGGGAGACAGCTCCATTGATAAAGTGCCACGCAAGTATGAGGACCTGAATTCAGAACTCTGGCACCCACATTAACCAGACAACACACTTGTAACCCCAATGCTGGGGAGGTGAAGGCAAGATTATTCCAGGGGCTCACTAGCTAGTTAGTCTTGATGAATTGGTGAATTCCAGATTCAACAAGAGACCCTGTTTGAAAAAAATAAGATGGAAAGGGAGCTGGAGAGATGGCTCAGTGCTTAAGACTGCCAGCTGCTCTTGCAGAGGACCAAGGTTGGGCTCCCAGCACCCACACGATGACTCACAACCATCAGTAACTCCACTTCCAGGGAGACCTGACACCCTCTTCTTGCCTCTGTGGTCATTGCACACACAAGTGCACTTACATACATGCAGGCAAAACACTCATACACACAAAATAAAAATAAAGTGTTTTTTTAAAAACTAAAATGGAGAATAATAGAGAAAGACACCTGATGTCAACCTCTGGCTTACACATACACACACGCACACACACAACATGCAGATCCAAGACCCAGCTGAGCAGTTGATAAAAATGGAATGATATGACCCAGCTGCTTTGGTAGGAGGTCCAAAGGCCTGTTGGGGTACCCACAGGGACTCATTTGTGGCTTCTATGGCTACTCCCTGGAGGAGATCAGGATTGCCCTATCCCCACTTCCTTCTTCTGACCCACCCATGTGTTCTAGCTCCGAGGCTTTCCAGAAGGGTGGAAGGAAAGGAGCCAAGAAGGTGATGATTGTCATCACGGACGGTGAGTCCCACGACAGCCCTGACCTAGAGAAGGTCATCCAGCAGAGTGAGAAGGACAACGTGACCAGATATGCCGTGGCTGTAAGTCCTGCCCCTGCCTAGGACTGCCAACCATGCCCAGAGGCTCTGCCTGCAAACCCTTGGGGATTCCCAGCACAGCAGTATGCTAAGCTTCATCTTCTAATAAAGAACACACTGAGCATGTCAAAGCCCTGGGTTCAATCCCCAGTGATGCATAAAACTAGGCACGGTGGTGCACATCTGAACTCCCAGTGTTTGGTTGGTAGAAACGAGCAGAACTTCAGGGTCATCTTTGGCTACATCCAAGTTCAAAGGCAGCCTGGGCTACATTGTTTTTTAAAGACAACTCTCCTCAGTACTACACACACCTATTAATAAATTTGTGGGATTGTATTTTCCTTCCTTTTCCAGGTAGTTTCAGAAATCAGACAGTACCCCCAAGCCTCCCAGGTCCCAGAACCCCAACTTAATGAAGAAGCCTTGTCTTGCCCCCCAAAAAGCATCTGTTACATCACAATGCCAGTGGCACCTTGAGCTCGTGGCTGCAGCTCACCCCAAGGTGCTTGGGATCAGGGTCTTCGAGGAGTGTGGAGAACCTGGCGCTATGTTCTGGTTTGTGTCCCTGCTCCTGTTCCCTGGCAGGTCCTGGGCTATTACAACCGCAGGGGGATCAATCCTGAAACTTTTCTAAATGAAATCAAATACATTGCCAGCGACCCTGATGACAAACACTTCTTCAATGTCACGGATGAGGCGGCCCTGAAAGACATTGTTGATGCCCTTGGGGACAGGATCTTCAGCCTGGAAGGTGAGGTACTCATGTGTTTTCACCAGGCAAACTCCATAGAGGCAATATAATCTGGCAGAGTCCAATGACTTTAGCAGAAGCCCCAGATTCACCCAGATCACCCATACCTGGCATCTCTCTGTGTTGGACTTGAGACTGAGATTATGCTCATTTGACTGCTGAGGCCATTTGGAGGGGGGTTAAACTAGGGTTTCCAAATTTAGCAAACATGAACTAGAATACTGATGGTACTATACTGAAAATGTATGCATTGTTTATCCTAAGTTCAAATTTCCTCAGGCACTCTGTATTTTATCTGACAACCCTAGTTTAAACTCAGCAGGCCTGGCTCCATATCCTGAAACACACAGTCCCTATGCATCTCAGTCTTTCACTCCACCACTTTTATGTAAAACAAAAGCATAGTTTGGGGCTGGGGATGTAGCTCATCTGATAGAGTGCTTACCTAGCATGCACAAAATCCTGGGTTTGATCACCAGCACCGCATAAAACTGGACATAGTGGTACACAGCTGTGATCCCAGCACTCTGGAGGTGGAAGTAGGAGGATCAGAAGTTCAAGGCCATCCTCAGCTACATACTCCGCTCAAGGCCAGCTTCAACTACTTGAGATCCTGTTTCAAAAAACAAAACACATGGGACTAGAGAGATGACTCAGTGGTTAAGAGCACTGGCTGCTCTTGCAGAGGACCTGGGTTCAATTCCCAGCACCCACATAGTGGCTAACAACCATCTATAACTCCAGTTCCAGGGGATCCAATGTCCTCTTCTGACCTCCACAAGTATTGTATGACACAGGTGCAATTATATACATGCAAGCAATACACTCATACATGTAAAATAAAAATAATAAATAAAATATTTTTTAAAACATAAAAAAGAGAAAGAAAGAAACAAACAACAACAACAACAAAAAAAAACCCATGGTTTACCTCATAGGTAAAGAGGCCTCTGTGAAAGCATTGCAAAGAGTTCTATTTGCATACATCTTGTTTGTGCTGTATCTTGTAATGGGCTCTTCCCAAGCTGGGCTCTGGGCATCTGGGAGGATTGTAGAAAGAATAAGGGCCCAGAGCTTGACAGGTCTGCAGTGATTGAAATGACAAGTTACAGACACATGCTCAGAGACTGAAAGCCTCCCGAGCAAAGCTTGAGTGTGGGCTTTGACGCCCACCCCAGAACTCAGATATCCAAACCACTGGGCTCCCCTCAAAATGGTCACTTTCAAATGATGAGATTATAGTTCCAGTGACTGGTTCAAGGACATGCGCCTTCCCTGTGTGAATGTGCTGCAGTGACCCTCTCTCCCGAGGGCCATTTGATGTTTAGGAGCCAGAGACCAAGTCTGGTAACTGGGAATGAGCAGAGTGGGATGCCAGTACCCCCAAAACACACAACTTCCACAGATTTCTGCTTGATCCTCCCTATTGAGCATGTGTGTGCACATACACACACAGACACCCACACAGACACACAGGATTTCTGCTTGATCCTCCCTATTGAGCATGTGTGTGCACATACACACACAGATACCCACACAGACACACAGGCACACACACACACACACACACACACACACATAAACAGACACACATATACACACACGTACATACACCTACACAGATTGACAGACACACATACACACACATACCACACATACACACACATACACACACAAACACACAATGGCAGGGTGCTGATGACGCAGGTGATGCTGAAGTCAGTGAAGACCTCCCCTCAGAGCCCCTCTTGAATCCAAGTTCCCAAGATGCCCCGGGAGGCAGGAATTGTGGAACTGTGGACAACGCAGTAAGGCTCAGCACTAACATCGTTCTGTCCCTATTTTAGGCACCAACAAGAACGAAACCTCCTTTGGGCTGGAGATGTCACAGACAGGCTTTTCCTCACATGTGGTGGAGGTACAGAGTGCTCTCTCTCTCTCTCCCTTTCTCTCTGTTTTATCTCTTTCTTGATGTCTCATAGCCTCCCAGAATCTTCTACTGGATGGAATGGGGAAGGCAAGGAAGGAAATTTCCCTCCCAGGGCCAAAGGTCTCATTCAGTCCATAGAGCCTTATGCAAAAACCAGGTCAAGTGACAAAACTAAACCAAGTGCCTCTGTACTCTGATGGTGCCAGTACCAGAGTGGCCTATGCATGCTGGGACAAGTTCTGTATCCACATTAGGAAGGTGCCTGCAGTTCCAGCAGGTGACCTGCATAGCCCACCTCTGGGCAGACTGCACCGGACTGCAGAGGTCTCAGGTGTGCTTTGCCACAGAGCGAGGGCCACAGGTGCCATGTCTCTGGCCCTCACCCACTATATTCTTTATCTGAGACTGGCTCAGAGGGGGCCTGGAGCCTCATAAAGGGACACAGTCATTGTCTTTGGAAACATAAACTGTCAGAGCCCAGGAATTCCATGTGGGGAAGCATGCCAGCTCCGTGTGCCTATGTCAGTGCATGTTCCCAGGTGTGCTTCAGTCGAACAGGTGTCTTTGTTGCCTGTGTGTGTCTGCCTATCTGTCTGTGTGTCCATCTGTCTATCTTTGTCTGTATGTGTGTGTCTGTCTGTGTATATGGTACAGGGCTGACACTGTGGACGTGCACACACCTCCTGATTTGCCAGGAAAGGCCTGAAGGTCTATGCGAGTTACACATTCCCGTTATCCCACGGCATTCTCTGAAGGCTTCTGTGAGGTGGAGGTGCCCAGCTGGCAGATCAAGAAGTGAGGTCATAGTGAAGTTAGGGGACCTGCTGATGAAATTAACCTAATGAGGAACATGTCAGCACCCTGCCCTTCCCTCTGCAGCCAGCAGCTGCTCCATGAGGGGCATTCCCAGGGGCTCTGAGTCAGGAATCCCAGACTGGAATGAGAGGGGCTCACGCAACACACGTGAGGCAACAGGCAGATGGACAGAGACGCAGCTCATGCTCAGATTTTCCCAGGTTGTGTCTAGACACTGTCAAGCCCACTGTGTTAAATGCAGCAAGATGGGAAAGTGGTTTTCCCGGCATCCCAGCTGCCCCTGTCCAGGTGCATAGAACTTGAAACATCCCCCAGCGGTCCCCTCACCTCATTCCATGCCCAGAAGAGCTCTTCTGGGTCTGCAGGTGGCAAGGTGATCCTGGTTTAAGTTGGGTCTGCCAGTTTTTTCAGTGCCTTCTTGGTGCTAGGTACAGAGACCAAGAGGCAGAACCTTAACCTCCAGGAGCCTGAAGTTGGAGGATAAACAGCCAGGCACAGGGAGAATGTTCAGTTCATTTGCATGAGGTCAGACAGCGAGTCTTGTGTTCTGGCAGAACTAGGCCTGCTCTCCTGACTCTGGGGTCAGGGCTGATTAGAAAAAACACCAAAAAGGGGCTGGGAGATGCATCACTAGATAGAAGTACTCATTCTGTAAGGATGGAGACCTGACTTCAAACCCCCAGTGTGCACATGAAAAAAGTAGGGCATGACTGCATGTGCCTGTAAGCCCAGCACTAGGGGATGGAGATAGGTGGATCCAGAGAGCTCACTGGCAAGCTTACCTAGGGCTTCTGGTTCAGTGAGAGACCCTATCTCAAGGCAATAGGGCCAAGAACAACAGAGGATGACACCCACAGTCCTGTCCTGTTTTCCATATGTGTATGCATGGGCACATGATCTGCACAGTCACATGCATGAGAGAGAGGGAGAGAGAGAGAGAGAGAGAGAGAGAATATGCAACTTTGCAACTTAATGAAATACAATGAACATTGGTCAAAAGGAATCAGTCAACCTACCCATCCAAATAGCATTCCTCAGCCTGGAGAGCATTGTCTCCCTGGAAAACATGCACAGCCCAAGACCATCCAGGAGGCCCTGCAAAGACCCCTGCTGGATTGGGCCAGACTCGTATAGCCAATGCAGCCAGAGCAGCCCAGCACCAGGGCCTCACAGAAGGAAAGACTCAACTAGGACAGGATGACCAGAGAAGGATCTGAGAGGACTGGAGCCTGAAAGAGACCCTGAGGATCGAGAGTGGGACAGGGGAGCAGAGAGGATTGTGTGCATAAGACAGAGAAATCTGGACACAGCAGAGAGAGAATGACGCAGTGTCTCCTTTGTCCACTGAGACCATTTTCTGAGCTTCTTCCTATGTTGTCAAGCACTAGGAATAAAGACTAAGGGACCATTTCAGCTGATAGCAGCACAGCCTAATTGAGGAGGAATATTCCGCACTATGTTCACTCTCCCATATCTAATACTATGATTCATGTGGGTCCAGGAACCAAGGGGCCCAAAGAAAAGTGAAAGCTGGGGGTTCAGGGAGCTTGAACTTTACCCGGTAATGGCCCAAGACACTCAGTATGGCCCAGCATTTGCAGAACCAATGTCCCAGCCATATGGAGGGAGTGAGATAGTCAGGGAGACCCAGTAGCTCAGAGTGCCAGCTTGTTCTTTGGAGAATCAAGGTGATGACTGCCCTGTGCAGCTTCTATGTATGCTCCACAATTTGTCTATTCCCCAGTCACAGGGGTCTTCCCTTGTTCTGTTCTGTTCTGTTCCGTTCTGTTCCGTTCACTTATTCTATCACCCCTGACTGCCTGAGTCGTGGTTGTTTTTTTTTTTTTATGTCACCTATCAGATATTTACAGAGAGGGTGATTATATCGGAATCTAAAACTCTAGTATTTATAGAACAAAACCCTACAAACCTGAAAGAATGGCACAGTGGTGGGCTGTCTGACACTGTGACCAGCCATCGGGCTGCTATCCTAGAACATAAAGCCTAGTACCAGGCTGCTGATGCCACGATGGGCCACATCATCCTTCCCGAGGAACCCAGTGCCTTGGCTTTCAGGGTCAGCCAGGCTGCTGTGAGGATCAGGGCCGTAGGTCCAGTCTTTCAGCTTTGCTTTCAGCAGAGAGAGAATGACGCGGTATCTCCTTTGTCTACTCTGAGACCATTTTCTGAGCTCCTTCCTATGTTGTCATGCACTAGGAATAAGTGCTTCCATTCCATTCCATTCCACCACAGTGAGTGTGTTCTGGGAAAGTCCAGCATGCTAGTTACTGTTCTCATTACTGTGACAAACTACCCAACAAAAAGTAACTTAAGGATGGAAGGGTTTCCTTTGGCTCATGGTTTGACAGTATGGTCCATCATGGCAAAGAAGGCATGGCATTGGGAGCATGAAGCATCTGCAGTCAGACACAAAGAGAGATGAACGCTAGTGCGCAGTTTGCTTTCTCCTCTTTATTCAGTCCAGGACGCAGCCATGGAATGGTGCTGCCCACATTTAGGGTGGGTCTTCCTACCTCCATTAACCCAATCCAGAAATTCTCCCACAAGCATGCTGAGAGGTTTGTCTCCTGGATGATTATAGATTCAGTCAAATTGTCAGTATCAACCATCACACCCAGACTTCCTCTCCTCTTACAGCCCTTATCTAAAAATGTGCAGAAGGAGCCCAAGGCTCCCCTGGACCTGTTCAGTTCCATTAAAACAAAAGATCCCTAGCCCTAGGGGAGGGGTCTCAAGTGGAATAGTCTCTTGAGAGCAGAGGAAAGGCCTCCACTCCACTCCTCTTGAGTCTCTTCTAGAAAGGGAAACCAACATTTGAGCTAGCAAAGATAAAAGCAACAACAGAAAACAGGACCCAAGCCCAGCATATAGAGGAGCCCCAAACAACACTAGACACAGAGCTCCAGGCCACAAGCCACTTACCCCAAGGCCCAAGGGCAGAAAGTCAGGGTCACAGAAAAAACCCACACAGCCAGAAACTCCAGTTTTCAGAAAATGGGGAGAGCATTCCAAAAATTACTATCAGGAAGGCTAGCTATGGGTTTGTGGTCAAGCTTCAGAATAGACTTTGAAAGCGGTGGTTGTGTCGAAATTTGGAAATGAATACAGAAGTCACCAGGATCCGAGTTAACTCTGTTAGTGCCATCTGCCTATTGGGGTGTTAAACTCCCCGACAAATGAGCAGACACTGTATGATTCTGCCAGAAGGCTTCTAGAATGAGGGAGTAGACTCGGGAGTCTAGAACTCCAGGATCTTGAGGGAGGAGGAAAGGACTATGAACAATTGGCACCCACTGGTGGGGAGATGCTGCAGAACACAACCAACCCAGGACTTCTTGGGAGAAACTCCACTTTGACCCTCTGTGGTAGCACCCTACCCTCACCCTGAGCCATGGCAACCAAGAATGTCCCAGGCATTGCCAGATGTCTCTTAGGGAACAGAACCACCCCAACTGGAAGCCTAGCCATGGTCTGAGAAGTTCCCTGCACTTAAGGCCACTTGGGCAGACACATGCTGGGGCTATGTCATAGGAACACAGTGGCCTCTTAAATATGGGATGGCTGGGAGGCCATAAATCAGGGACAAGCCCATGATCAATGAAACAGCAAATACCACTCTTCCCAGAATGCCCTACTGTTGTTTTTCAGTTGGGCCAAACACCTGACTTCTCACACCAAAGCTATGGCCTTTTTTCTATGGAACTTGTAGAATTTTTTCTAGACTCAGGATGCCTGCCTCCCCACAGCTTGGAGAAGACTGTGACATACTGAGATTTGCTATGACAGCCTTCACATGCCCACTTCCTCCAACTAAACACATGTCCTCCAACTAAACCATTTTGGAGAAGTTCTCCCATTGAAGACCCAGGATCCCTCTGTATCCAGGGTTACAGTGGCACAAATGAGACAGGAACTGCCCTGCCCCATATTGTGGAATCCAGAAATCTAGATGAAATTCCCAAACTTCACACAGGAGAGTAGAGGCCCTCCCAGAAAGGTACCAGGCACCTAGGTTGAGCCCACCCTTTCAGCACACCAGAGGTGCCGGCCATAATTCAATATCACAAGTGTCTCTTCTAAGGTCTCGAAAGAAGCCTGGTGTACCAGTAATCATGAATTTGGTCTCAGTAAGCAGACAGGAAGCAAGGGAGACCTTCCCCCAACAAAAGGCTCATGTGGAAAACAGGACGCAGGACCCACTAGACTTTTCTCCTCTGCCTCACTGTGCTGGATAGCTTTAGTGTCAACTTGACACACCTGGGTTGAGGGAACCTCCATTGGGGAATTTCCTTCACTGGACTGGCCTGTGGCCATGTCTGTGGGGCATCCTATTGATTGTGTGTGATGTGGGAGGGCCCAGCCCACTGTGGGTGGTGCCACCCCTGGGCAGGTGGACCTGTGTTAAATACGAAAACAGGCTGAGCAGGGGCCAGGGGAGCAAGCCAGTAAGCAGTGTTCCTCCATGGCCTGTGTTCCAGCTCCTGCCTCCAGGTTCCTGCTCTGAGTTCCTACCTTGGGCTCCCTGATGAACTGTGACCCAGGAGATGTTAGGTGAATAAACCTTTTCCTCCCCAAGTTGGTATTGGTCAGAATATTTTGTCACAGCAATGAAGAAACAAACTGGGACACCCACCTACCACCTTTCAGAAGACCCAACCCTGCCTCTGACTTGCTATTGCTTGAGAAAGCCCCTGCCTCTCTCTGAGCCTCAGCTGCTGATCTGTCAAGTGCAGATAACATCAGTCTGTTCTACAAAGAGCTCCCTGTTAGCTCCTCCCAGTGAGGGGAATGCTGGATAAGAAAGCCTTCCACCAAGAATGGAGCATACCCCCAAAGTGAGGAATGTTGGCAGTGACATGAATGCATTTGAGTCCCTGGGCCCGGTTCCTGCCAGCCCACTGTCAGTGCTTCCCAGCTGAGGCTGGAGCACAAAGTAAGAGGGGAAAAAGCTAATTAGAAAGCTGGACTTTGAACATGACCAAGCACCAGGCTCTCCCCAGGCTGGCTTATTTATAGCTGCAAAAACAGTCTGCCTGGACAGTTCTCACTCTGAAGAACTGGCATTTTCCAACACTTTGATAAGATCAACTTGGCCCTTTAAAATGGCAGGGCAACTTTGAACCCAGTCAACCAGCTGGGTTCATGAAGAGCTCAATGGGAGAGGAAGGCATGGTTCAGTGGGAGAGGAAGGCAACCTTACCTGCTCAGGCTCCAAAAGTCCAAAGCTGCTGGTGGTATTGGCAGAGTGCCTGCTTAGCATGAACAAGGCCCTGGGTTCCATCCCCAGCACACTTAAGAAAAACTGAGACATGGTCTCATGTAGCCTAGGCTGGCCTCATACTCACTACCTAGCCAAGGATGACTTTGAATTTAGAACCTTCTGTCTCTACCTCCCAAGTGCTGGGATTACAGGTGTGCACCACCATGCCCAATTTGTGAGGTGCTGGGGACCAAACTCAGGGCTTTGTGCATGCTAGGCAATCACTCTACAGACTGAGCCACATTCCCAGGTCCTCCAAAACGTGTGTATGTGTGTGTGTCTGTGTGCATGTGTGTACATGTTAATGGAAGGCAGAGAGCACGTGTGTTTATGCATGTTGAAGCTAGAACACAAACTCAGGTGTTGGTCCTCAAGTTCTGTCCATGGTTTTTGTGTTTCGTTTCGTTTTGTTTTGTTTGTTTTTGCTTTTGAGGCAGAGTCTGTCACTGGCCTGGAGTTCATTAGGTAGGCTAGGCTGGCTGGCCAGTGAGCCCCAGGGATCTTCCTGTCTCTGCCTCTGCAGAGTGGGATTATAAGCAAAGGCTACCTTAGTCCGCTTTTTTTAAGAGCCCTGGGAATGGAACGTGGGACCTCATACTTGCAAAGGCAAGTGCTTTACTGACTGAGCATCTCCCCTGCCCTAAACAAAAAGAGGCTTTTTATTTTAAAAAATTATGTGTATGAGTGTTTTGCCTGCATGTAAGAACACTGTGCACGCAATGCCCATGGAGGCCAGTCCTGTGGGTTGTTCACACAGAGTGGGAAAGTGCAGGGACCCAGCTCTCAGAAAATGACTGTAGAGTCAGGAACTTAGACACTTCCCTTCAGGGAACCAGGGCTACCTATCTTCCCACTCAGGTATGGTAGCATCCACCTGTCCTGTAACCAGTGCGTAGAACAAACACCCTCTGAGTCCTGAGAAACAAACTTCAGTGTTGGCTGTCCTGGGTATAGCCCTGACTTCTCTGCCCAACCCCATCTCAAGCTGTTTTTTCCCTACTCTACCAAACAGCTTTCAGTTCCTGGGAAGCAAAGCTCTGCCTTCTCTTTCGGCCTCAGGGCCTTTGTACAAGATGGTCACCTGTGGGAGGCGTGGCTTGAATGAGTGTGAAGGTTTGGGGAAGTAACAAGAGATCAGAGAGGTTTTAAAGCCCAAAAATAGAAGCTTGGTCCTATGTTTGGAGTTTATTTCTAGAATTTTCTTTTACATGTTTTCTAAATTCCCATCCTTGAGCTCAACTTGACCCATCTCATGCTAAGGATGAGATGGGGCAAGATGGTCTCCAAGGTTCGGTTACAAGCCAAAAGGCCCAGCTAGAAGCTGAGTTGCTAAATCACCACCCTTAGAGGAAGCACCCTGGCTGGCTGGTGGGTGCTTCACTGGTCACAGGGCCTGGGGTGGCTTTGGCTAGAGGTCCCCAGGGACAAGATCTAATGTGTGTCCCCTCCCGGATGCCAGGATGGGATTCTACTAGGAGCTGTTGGTGCCTATGACTGGAACGGGGCTGTGCTGAAGGAGACCAGTGGTGGGAAGGTGATTCCTCTGCGAGAGTCCTACCTGAAGGAGTTTCCAGAGGAGCTGAAGAACCACGGCGCATACCTGGGTGAGGCTTGCCAGAGGGTGGCTGGCAACAGGGTGAGGCAGGCCCTGGGGTAGAGGGCTGTCTGTGTCTGTCCTCTGCTGTACTTCAAGGCCTCGGTACAATGCCCAGGTCTGGCATCTCCCCACACCCATTCTACATGCGGTAGCAGTTCCTGAACAGAATAAATGAGCTCCCCATAACATAAGCATGCTTCATTGGAAGCTTCTAGATGCTGGGTTAGTTGTCAGGGTTCTTAAAGCTTCAGGCCCTGACCAGAGCTGCATCACACTAAGCCTTCCTCCCCAGGACAAAATGCAAGTCTTGTCAACACCTACTCTCCCTTTTTATTCAATAATTCTATATGGTTTTTGGTGCCTGGGACTGAGCCCAGTACCTTCACATCTCAACCATGTGCTCTACCACTGAGCTATACTTTTTTTTTTGAGGCAAGGTCTTACTATGTAACCATGGGTGGCCTGAAACTCATTGTGTAGACCAGGTTGTCCTCAATCTCAGAGAGACCTGCCTGTTTCTGACCCAAGTGATGGGATTAAAGTCTTGTACCTCCATGCTTGGCTTCCCAGACCCTTTTATTAATCAACCCCTCAAGGGAGACAAAACCCACTGCCCATCCCCAGACCTGGTTGAACCAGGCCTAAGTAAGGTCTACTGAGCACCTACCACCAGAGACCAACCTGTTTCTTCCTGCGGCAGGGTACACCGTGACATCAGTCGTGTCCTCCAGGCAGGGGCGGGTGTACGTGGCTGGAGCCCCCCGGTTCAACCACACAGGCAAGGTCATTTTGTTCACCATGCACAACAACCGAAGTCTCACCATTCACCAGGCTCTGCGTGGAGAGCAGGTAATGGAGGGCAGGTTGCACTGGGTAGACCGAAGGGGAAGGTTAGGATCTGACATTGGCAGGTAGTATGGAAGAGTCTCTCCCTACTCAACTGGAAGGTCCCACACCCACAATCATCCTCCCTGTGCTGGGGGCACATATCCAATTCTCCATATGGTTGAAGGTGTCTGCAAAAGCAGTCCTGAAACAGCCATGGAACCTGCATTGTTCCCTCCATACAAAGAGAGGTCTGGATTTTAGCTACATCAGAGAGCCTAGGGCAGTTTCTAGCTATACCTTATGGACCTCTTGCCTCTGGGACTCTGAGTAATCCCTGTTATTGTCCTGTCCCATCATTCCCTGTCTGGCTTCTATGTATGGCTACCTGGCCTGAAGGTAACCAGAAGGACAGCTGTCCTCAAGCACAACCAAAAGTTGTGTGTCCCCCCACAGCAAGGCTCAGGGGAACACCAGCTTCGTCTTTTTCTGGCTGACAATGCCACTGTCCCTTCTGGGATGTGGTTGCCAACCAGACTGTGTAACGGCTTATTGGAAAGTTACAGTGAGAGTCGCTGGCAGTGACAAGATATAAAGTCACCACAGCAGGTGAGCAGGCCTTTGGTCCTGAGAAGAAACATGGCTTCTCCAAGATCCTATGATGGGTTCCTGGCCCTGTCAAGTTAAGAATCAGGCAGGACTTGTTGATAGAGATGCAGGTGGGAGAGATGGAGATGGAGCCCAGGGATCCCTAGGTTTCTAATGAATGGTGGTTGGTGCCCTCGCCCATGTAGGCAACACTACACTGAAGGACAGGGAGGATTAGAGGGAGCACTCGGGCAAAAGAAGCGTCGGTCAGCATCCACAATGGGAATACCAGAATGCTCCATGTTGGAAGCAAGTTAATCCTAATGGCTTCAGTAAACCTGTCAGGGTACATCCCTAATGCCAAGTCACCAAAACTAAGTCATGGCTATTGCATTCATGAACACACAGCAGCTGTGGTTACCTATAAAGGCAAACCAGAAAAAATCCAGCATGAGTGGGGAGGAGCTCACAAGGCCCTGCCCCTAACTGAGGCGCTATTAGCAGTTGATGGCTGCTAGAGGAGAGAGAATCCTTCTTTGGGTTGTGAGCCACTGGTAGGTAGGTGCATTGCCCATGCTCCAGTGGATGGCCCTACACCCATGCTCATATGGGTAATACTAATTGGTCTTAGTGGGATTTTTTTTTTTTGTCTTTTTGAGACAGGGTCTCCCTGTAGCCCCACCTGGCCTGGAACTCACTACATAGACCAGTCTGTCCTGGAACTCACAGAGCTCCCCCTGCCTCTGCCTCCTGAGTGCTGGAATTAAAGGCATGTGCCACCATATCTGACGACTATCTTTGTGAAGAAAAAATATGTCCTAAAGAAAAGTCTCATGATACATTGTTATATTTAATGATCAGGACATGAACTACAGATGGAGAATGATCCCAATTTGAAAAAATAGAAACTAATTTAAACATATGAATTGACAATGTGGCAATGCAGTAACAAGAGTAAAAGAAAACAGAAAGCATTCTTTTGGCTGCATTTGAAAGTTGAGACTATGGTGCAGCTTGTTTTCATTGTTTTACTCTTTTGGTACCCTCCCCTCACACTTTTTTCTACAATTATATCACTGCCCAGGAGAATAGGGGTAGACAATAGAAAGAGGGAAAGGGACAAGGACAACCAGAAAGTCGGTGAGTCTGCCCAGAGGAAAGGAGAGGAAGGGGGCATGAAAAGGACCCCAAACATTCCTGGTCTAAGGACGGCCCTGGTTCACTGCCAGGGCTGCCAGCAGGAATCCAGGGCACCCAGCCCTGCTCTCTCTCCCATCTGTGTGCCGCAGATAGGCTCCTACTTCGGGAGTGAGATCACCTCGGTGGACATCAATGACGACGGAGTGACCGATGCCCTGCTGGTGGGCGCCCCCATGTACTTCAGCGAGGGCCGAGAGCGGGGCAAGGTGTACATCTACAACCTGAGACAGGTACTGTAGCTGGGTGGGGCCAGGCAGCTCCTGGGGCATCAGAGTTCTGGTCAACCTTGAGAAAGCCTAGGTTCCCAAAAGGCTAGTGCCACCTTACAGGAGTCAGCTGGGAAGAATAGGAGCCTCTCTGTCCTAAGTGCCTGTTGCACTTAGGAGGGGGTTCTGGGAAATGGAGTTGTGCAGGCAAAGGGGGTCAAGACCCCAGGGCCCCTGGCCCAGCCCCCTGAGCCTCTCCCTGGCCTTGGATTTGTTTGTAGAACCGGTTTGTTTATAATGGCACGCTGAAGGATTCCCACAGTTATCAGAACGCCCGGTTTGGATCATGCATCGCCTCGGTTCGAGATCTCAACCAAGATTCCTACAATGACGTGGTGGTAGGGGCCCCTCTGGAGGACAGCCACAGAGGGGCCATCTACATCTTCCATGGCCTCCGCAGCACCATCCTGAAGAAGCCCACTCAGGTAGGCCTCTGTGGAGATCAAGTGGAACCCAGGTTCCTGCGGTTCAGTTTCCTTCTATTTCCCCTACAGGAAGAGTCTAGTCTGTCCCAGTTATGCCTCTAGTGGAAATGCTGGGATGAGGACACTGTATGTTCAGGATCTTCCCATCTGCTTGCCCCACATACACCTTTACACTCCCAAAAGCATCAACTCAATGAAAATCCAAGGTACCAAATATCACTTCCCCAACAGGCAGCTGGGCAATTGGAGAGCTCCCACTTGGGCTCTGTCTTTCCTGGAAATATTCCTAGCTCACCTCAAACCTGACCCTCCTCAATCTCTCCTCTATCATTTTGTCCACGTATTTTATTAGTAAGATAGTCAAACAATATACCAAAATTGGAGATGCCAATGGATTGGTTACTTGCCAGGTAATAAATATTGGCATTCAGTGAGTACTCTTTTTTATTTTTTTTATTCTTATTTTTATTTTTGTGGCATAGAGAATCAAACCTAGGGTCTTGTGCACTTTGCCACCCAGTTACACCTCCAGCCCTTGGTTTTTTGAGGCAAGGTCTTGCTAGGTAGCCTACACTTGAACTCATGATCCCGGGATTACAAGGATATAACACCATGCCTTGCTTGGGAAGTCTTTTTGATTTTATTTATTTATTTATTTATATTTTTGTATGTTTTTATTGAATGTTTCATATTTCATACAAAACATCTTAATCATCTTTTTTATTTTTTATTGAATTTTTGTGTATTTCATACAGAACATCTCCATCAATCTTAATCATCTTTATACCCCCTTCCCCACTGGCACCCTCCCATAGCCCCACTGGAATTCATACATTTTGTCATTTGTGTTAAAGTCTATTGTGTCAAGTTGGTGTCCCAGTCGTCCCTCAGTGCAAGTTCATCTACTGAGGCCTAGCCAGCCTATCTAGCTTTAGGAAGATCAGCTCTTTCTCACCCAGCAGTAACCAGTTGCCAATATTTCTTCAGCTAAGATTGAAGTCAGCTGTCCGATTCCCCAGTTCTATGCTGGGTTTTGTCTGCTTGAGTTTCCATGGGTCTTGTGCATGCTGACACCCACTGAGTGGGTTTTAAGTTCAATTAGGTAGCTGTTGATTTTTCCCAAGATAAAAGTGCCACTACTGCCCTAGTGTCATGCTGTTCACATGAACAGGGTCTCAAGGGCTTATAGGACTCTATTTCCATATGGTCATGCACCTCGTCCCTGGCTCTTACAATCTTTCTGCCCCCTCTTCTGAAATGGTCCCTGAGCCCTGGGTGGGTGTAGATTAATATAGGAGTCTGTCCAAGGACCAGCATTCTGCAGACTCTTAGTCCCTATACTTTGGCCATTTGTGGCCTTTTGTGTTCCTGGCCCTCTGTTGCATGAGGGAGCTTCATTAATGAGAATTGAGATATTCGTTAGTGTCCTCTTTACCCCTTGTTCTATGTTCTATGAGCCTTAGGTGTAGAGGTTGCATTGTAGATGTGTCACTAAGACTTGGGCAATTCACAGACAATGTCTGTGTGTGACCAGTTGAGGCACTCTGTAATAGTGTCCATCTGGTGCAAGAGAATCTTGTTTGATGAGTGGTGACTGGGATATTTGTCTGTAATATAAGGATACATATTTTGCACATAGCAAGAAATTACATTGGTCTAGGAATGTGACAGTCTTGGGGTTTTATGTAAGATCTAGGACCTCTCCAGCCATGTGTATTTGGTTATGTTTACAGTACCACACATGTATTCCTTCCCACTGAGTGGGTTTTAAGTTCAATTAGGTAGCTGTTGATTTTTCCCAAGATAAAAGTGCCACTACTGCCCTAGTGTAGTTTGCTGTGCTGGTCATTGTTGTGGTTATTAGCCCTTAAAGCTGGGTCTGGGCCATTGACTGATGCTCTCCCTTAGCAGCTTGCATAGTGTCCTCCAAAGCTATGAGAGCTAGCCTTCAGGGAGGAGGCTTCCAGGTTAGTTCCAGCTACATTGCTCCAAGCCCTGTGTCTGGAATATGTCCTGTCTTCAGCAATAGGGTCTTACCTTCAAGTTCTAGGAGATAATCAAGGACTGTGGCAATAGTCTGTGTAATTTTGGGAGTCTCTTAGATGACCCTAGTCAACAACCCACTGTTTCTTGTTATGTAACCTTCATCTATACATATGGACACAGGCAGAGATATATGTGTCGTTTTTCAGTAGGCTTTTGAATTAATACATTTTCTTCTGGTTTCTCATACCAGCTAAGCATCATTTATCTCTCCTCTCTCCCCTTGTCTATTTTGAGTGTTTTGCTTGCATGTATGTAAATGCACCCATGCATGAAATGCCTGCAGAGGCCAGAAGAAGGCGTTGGATCCCATGGAATTGGAGTTACAGGCAGTTGTTAGCTGACATGTGGGTGCTGGGAATTGAACCCATGTCCTGTACAAGAGCAGCCACTGCTCTTAGCTTCTGAGCCATCTCTCCAGTCCTGGGAAGTCTTTTTAAGACATAGTATTTTCATCAAAAACAGTGACTTTTAAAGGCAATAATTTTGGGTAGCAGGTCAAGTGCCTGTGACTGTAGAAGCTTGCTAAGAGTTTCAGGCAAACACTCCCCAGATCTCCGGGTTGTGTCTGCCCCCAGAGCTACCCTGGGCTCACAGTACACACTCCTTTCCTCTCATCTCCCTGCAGAGAATTGCTGCATCAGAGCTGGCTCCAGGCCTCCAGCATTTTGGCTGCAGCATCCACGGGCAACTGGACCTCAATGAGGATGGGCTTGTGGACCTGGCAGTGGGTGCCCTGGGAAACGCAGTGATTTTGTGGTTGGTTCTCCTGGTTTCCCCTCACTCTCCCAAGGGTCACAATGGATAGTGTTTCAAAGACCCATTTCAGGATCTTTGCCCCACATCCTTGACCATTATCAGCCTAATGAACCCTGATTCTCTCCCGTCTTGGTTACAAATTTCCTTTCTTTGGAATCACTTGTTGTTTGGAGTCTGAATCTAGTCTCAATGAATTCCTAGGATTTTAGACCACTCTCAAGTGCAAACCTCCCCACCCCCTTAGAATTTCTCCTAATGCTAAGGCTCCTGAAGCGTTTCTTCCACTCCCATTTCCCAGGCTACCTAAAGGACACTGAGCATGTTGCCTCCCCTAGAAGGAGCTTTCCTCTTTCCCAGCAAGGGAGAAGTACATGTAACATGGAGATTTTTTTTCCTCCAACCCCTCTGCCCTCATTTCCTGTTGTCAGAACACAACATCAGTGTTCTGGTAAAGACCGTTCATCTTCCCATGGTTACTACTTTTAGATCAAAAAAGAAATCAATCGAATAATGAGACTGGAGGAATGGCTCAGTGGTCAAGAGTACCAGCTGCTCTTGCGGAGGACCAGGGTTCAACTCCCAGCACCCTCACTGGGCAGCTCACAACTGCTTGTAACTCCATTTCCAGGGGATCCAACACCCTCCTCTGGATTCTACCACACGCACATGGTGCACTTACAGACAAACAGGCATACACACTGCATGCACACAAATAAAAATACATTTTTAAGAATAATTTTAAAAAATATGTTAATGAAATAGATTTCATCATTTAAGTTATCTGCAATAACATTAAATGAATTTGTTAAACACAGAAAAAGATTACCTAGTTTTCCACCATCTTCATACTAACACATTCGGCATCTGAGCACACTTCCTCCCATCTTTTTTCCTGAGTACAATTTTATTTAAGTGCAATTACTTTTCATATAATTTTAAAAGGCATTAAACAGAGATATTACCTGACTTCACAGGGAGAATAAAGAAAGGGACAGTGTGCCGTGTCCTCAAGAATATTATGATCTAATTGGGAAATAGTCTCCCCCAAGTTGCTTAGAAAACAGAGCCTGAGTCAGGCATGGTGGAACAGGCCTGTAATCCCAGCCCTTAGTCAGCAGAGGCAGGAGGATCATGACTTACAGTCTAGCCTGGGCTACATACCGAGACCATGTCTAAAAAAAATAAGGCAAACCCCAGGAATGTAGCTCAATAATAAAGCACTTGCCTAGAATGTCACACCCCTGAGTTTGATTTCTAGCAAAAAAGAAAAAGGGGAGCTAGGGAGATTGCTCACTGCATATAAATGCTTACTGCATAAGCATGAGGACCTGAGTTCAAATCCCCAGCACCCACAGAAAAACGCTGGGCCTGGATACACAAGGGCCTGTAGCCCTAGTGCTGGGGCAACAGAGGCAGGAAGATCGCTGGGGCTTGCTGGTTGCCAGCATAGCTCCAGCCTCAGTGAAAGACCCTCAGAGGGATAAGGCAGAGAGTGATAGAGCAGGACACCCAGTGTCCTCCTGTGGCCTCCATACCTGCACATGTACAGGCAGGTACACCTTCACATGCATGTGCATACATACTACAGAGACACAGAGAGAGAATAACCTGAGGCAAAAATTTCTGCTGGGATGCCTCTGAAGCAGGTTCACTCCCAGAGTGAAAGAGAGACAGGAGCAGAGGAGAGCAGGTCTGTGCAGTGCTTTGTGCTCCAGGGGGCTGCGACATCATACATAAGACTCTGCTCAGCATCCCAGCACCTGTTTCTTGCAACAGCCCACTGTAAAGAAAAAAGAGGAAGCAGCCCACCTGCTGGCTCCCCTATATTGGTCTGCCATGGCCAAAGCTTCCCTACCCCACCCTTCCTGTGGTTTCCCCTGGTCCTGTGGGTCATCCTGGAAAAGCAAGGGTCCCATCAGTTTCAGCTCAGCCAGAATACAGGTCTACACTCTCTTTTTGATATGGGGTTCTTAAGGTCTTTGCTGGTGGTAGCAGCAATAACAACTGTCTGGGCTTGAATACACTGGGCTGGTTTCAACCAGAAACACAAGTTTCTGAGGCTCAAGGTAGGAATAAACATGGCCTAGAGGGCCTGTAGGGTGTCATATAGACATCTTTACAGAAAACAAGATGCACACATGCTGACTCCAGGGAAACCATTTCACAGAGAGGATCCCATCAAACTCCAGCTGTTGAGGTCTGGGACTCCCGGCAACCTACAGGGTAGTAAATTATAGGCCAGTGTCTTCTGAGAAAGCTTTATGCCCAAACCCCATGGCTCCACAAGAATCATGAGAGCTTTTTAAAGCTCATCACACACAGGCTTTACCCAAACCAATTAAAGCAGAATTTTTCAGTAAGGATCTAGACAGCTGAGCTTCTGCTAAGCTCATGGTAGTTGCCCCAAATCCAGTGAATGAGGAACCAAAGAAATCAAGACTCAAATCCAGCCATTAACTCAAGCACAGACAGATGTGATGCCAACCACACTGTGCTAAGAAGCCCAAGCACTGTAACTGCCTTAAATTCTGAAACGCCTTGTTCATATCCCAGCTAGTACATTTTAATATCAACACAGGGGTCAGAGAAGCCACACCTTTCCTTTCCCAAGGTTGACTTAGACCAATCTAAGAGCACTCATGTATTTCCTTGACTGGACTTCCTGGATGGGACCATGGCAAGACAGATGGTGGGAACCATCCAGAACATGGCTTTCTATGTTGCCCACACCTTGGTATGCCTGTGCATGCTTGTCTCTCAAAGTTTGGTCCATGTACCATCAGTTCCAGCATCACTCAAGAGCTCGCGAGACATGCAGAGTCTATGCCAACCAAGTGCATCCAAATCTACATTTTAGCAAGATACCTAGGGGTGTAGAGGTAGATTAACAGCTGGGCATGGTGGTGCACACCTTTAATCCCAGCACTTGGGAGGCATGGGAGGCAGAGGCAGGTAGATCTCTGTGAGATTGAGGCCTGGTCTACATAGTTGCAGGTCAACTGGGGCCACAGGGTGACCCTGTCGCAAAAAAAAAAAAAAAAAAAAAACTTTGAGAGGCTTTAAAACACGCTCATTATGTTTGACTCAGATTTAATTTGACCTAGGGTGCAGCTTTGGCATTTTTAAAAATAAGGTCTCATGTAGCTCATACTAACCTTGAATTCCTGAATAGCTGAGAGTGACCTTGAACCTTGATTCTTCTGCCTCCTCCACCTCCTGCGTGTTAGGGTCACAGGTATGTGGCACCACACCTTGTTAATGTGGTGCTGGGCATCACCCAGAGCTTTGTGCATGCTAGGCAAGCCTTCTACCAACTGAGCTACATCCCTAGCCCCAGGCATAGGTGTTCTCTCTCTCTCTCCCTCCCTCCCTCCCTCTCTCTCTCTCTCTCTCTCTCTCTCTCTCTCCCTCTCTCTCTCTCTCTCTGTCTCCCCTTCATGTAATTCTACTATACATCCAGGGCCGGGTTGATGGATAAAGGAAGCCCACGATCTTCAGCAAGTGCAGCCCGGAAGAAAAGGAGAAAAGACTGTCTCAGAGTCCTGAGGCTGCTAAGCCCATTCACCTTTGGCCAGTCCTATGACATCCAGAGCCCTCTCAGCCCTATCCATGCACCCTGTCCTCTAGGAGAGATTTTTCAGGCTCCGTTCCTACCTTGGTCTCCTTTCCTGCCCCTGGGTCCCAGCAGAGCAGTCTGAGTCCCAGCCCTACCCCAGCTCACAGGTCCTTCTCCTCCAGGGCCCGGCCTGTGGTCCAGATCAATGCCAGCCTCCACTTTGAGCCATCTAAAATCAACATCTTCCACAAGGACTGCAAGCGCAGTGGCAGGGACGCCACCTGCCTGGCCGCCTTCCTCTGCTTCGTGCCCATCTTCCTGGCGCCCCACTTCCAAACAGCAACTGTCGGTAAACAAGTCCCCTGGGTCCCCAGCCCAGCTTCAGACACTCCGTGGGCTTTGTGATTGTTCTTAGCTTTTCTGAAATGGGTTCCAAGTGCCAAAACACACCCCCAGCCACCTTTGATGCCTGCTGGATGCTCCTCTGATGCACTCTCTCTCCGGAGGGATTTCTGCCAGAATGAGGGTGGCGGTGGGCAGAGCTGGCTGTGGCAGGGGAGGCCAGGGGCAGAAGAAAAGCATCTGGGTGTGATTTGAACATAAGATCGAAGGCAGGCAGCAGACTGCAAAGAGGGAAGTCAGCCTGAATGCAGAGGAAGACAGACTTGGAGCCAACAGTGGGGAGCTGGGGACCAGGATAACATCCCTACCAGTGACAAGGCACAAGACTATACAAAGAAGAGAAGGGTGTGCAGGGCAGACAAGGACAATCAAGTGTGGTGGCTATGTTCTTCTCTTCAAAGTTCATTCTCTGTCAGGAGAAAGATCCAAGGATAGAGCAGCCCTCTGCCTGCATGGGAGAAGGAAACCCTAGGCCATCCCTGGAACTGGCAGATATTTTTAGGTGAAGGAGAAAGAGCTACTGACCTTAAACGCCAGGATAGAGACATGGATCTGAGGCGCCCCAGGAGAGGTTCCCAAATGCCAAAAGCAGTAGTGGGAGGCACGGCAGAAAAGGGAGGTCTAAGGAGCCTGTCTTATCAGCCAGACTCGGTTTTGTTGGATAAGCGCTCTCTCTCTCTCTCTCTCTCTCTCTCTCTCTCTCTCTCTCTCCATCACACTTGCATTTCTCCATCCTCTCTTGCTCCCCACATGGGCTTCCAGTCAATACTAGTCCTATATGATGGCTGAGTCTGGCCTGGAAGCCTCACTTGGAGGAAGAATTCCCAGATGCTAGACAGGTGAATTGTCTTGGGTGGGGCAAACCCCCAACTTAGTGTTGCCCTCTCCTCTCCTCCAGGCATCAGGTACAATGCCACCATGGATGAGAGGCGGTACATGCCTCGGGCCCACTTGGATGAGGGTGGGGACCAGTTCACTAACAAGGCTGTCATGCTGTCCTCCGGCCAGGAACACTGTCAGCGGATCAACTTCCACGTCCTGGTGAGTCTGGCAGCCCCTCAGCAGGGCCCAAGTCCTACAGAAAGGGGACAGAGTGGAGGGACATCTGTAGCAGGAAGAGTGAGCATCATCGGTACCAGGCCTGTTCTGACCCCATGGCTGTGAGGTCAGATGAGCCCAAACTTGGCCACACAGTACCCCAAGTAATGCCCCAAATAAAAACCCTTGGGGACATCATATCTTCCTAGATGCCCATCCTTCCTTAGCAGGGGTGAAATCAGAGAAGTGGGTTCCAACTAAGAGGATAAGGAGGAGAGAGGGGCATTCTTCAAGGGGGGCAGCAGGGTGGTCTGAAGATGAAGACCATGTGAAGGCAGGCAGAGGCATGCCCAGGTGAGCCAGTGTGTCCCAGGATGGGTGGTCGCCCATCTGATGAATGAAGAAGAGGTTTGCATCCAAACAGAGATACCAGGTGCCCTGACCACAGCTCCAGGAGGCCGATGTTCTTAGACAGCTGTGAACTTCCCAATAGTTTGTCATCCACAGTCAGGATAAACTGAATTGCCCTACCTTGTTCATTTATTCATTCAGTCAGTCAGTCAGTCAGTCAGCATTATCAGGCTCAATCACAGTGGTCTGGCTGTGCTCGTCTTCTAAACTGTTCCCTCTTAGGTAAGGAAGGCAGGCACACAGGTGGTTTTCAGTTGAGTATGGTGGTATATGTCTATAATCCTAGGACTCCAGAGGCTGAGGCTGAAAGACTGTGAGATCAAGGCTAGCCTGGTCTATATACTGAGACCCTGTCTCAAGAGAACCAAAAACAAGCAAGCAGAAAAGAACAGTCAGGTGATTTGAATGCCGTAGGAGAAGCCACAGGAACGAATCTGGAGAGAGGAGGAAAGTACCCTGCCAGGCTTCCTATAGGCTGAAGTATCTGGGCCTGGAGAGTTGAGCTTTAGGGGGTGAGTTCAAGGCCAACCTACTCTACATAGTGAGTTCCAGGCCAGCTGGGGAAGTTTTGTAAGACTTCACGAAGCTAGGCCAGTGTAAACTTTTCTACCTGGCACATACTTTTCACCTGCAGACCCCAAGAGGAACCCCTGTCCATTTGGGAACTTATCCTGAGAACAAGGCTTCTGTCCTCCCAGTTTAGTGGGGTACAAGTTCTGTGCCAGGGGTCCTGGTCCAGAAAATGATGCTCTCTTCTCTCTGCACTCTACCTTCCTGCCCCACAGGACACTGCCGACTATGTGAAGCCAGTGGCCTTCTCAGTCGAGTACTCCCTGGAGGACCCTGACCATGGCCCCATGCTGGACAATGGCTGGCCCACTACACTCAGAGTGTCGGTTCGTATTAGTGGTCCTGGCCTGCCCCTCTGCCATACACCCTTCCACCTCCAGACCCCGTGTGATGAGTGTGGAGGAGTCCTTCCCTCTCCCTCCTACTCCTGTCCCCCAAAACCCACAGCAAGTACTAGCAAAGCAGGCTTCATTTGTGGGGTTCCCATGTGTTCCCCACAGGGAAGCACCCAGTGGATCCTGAGGAAATAGAGAGGGCCAGAGGGACCAGGCATCTCTGGCTCCTACTTCCCTCCTCTTCAGATGAGGACTAGACTGCTTTCGCTTGGTCTTGTGCTTGTTGAATGACTAACTCTCAAAGTGACTCTGCCTGCTTGCTACCAGTTATCCCCAAGGAACGCTTTCTCTTTGTCAGTGGTTACGGCCCAGTCCCTAGTCACATCTTCAAACCTCCAGGTCTAGGGGCACATGGATCCTCAGTTTATAATTGGGGTGCTCCCTGCATCTCCAGCTCCCTGAAGAGTCCACTTAAGGAAGGCCTGCCACCCCAGTTCTGTCCCAGTGGGCTGGGAAAGCAAGCAAGGTTTACAGAAGGCAACATCAAATGCCTGGGCCCTAAACATTAGCTTAAACACACAACAGCACTCAGAAGCTGTGACCTTCAGGTCAGCCACTGAGCAAACTCACGGAGGCTATCAGTCCAGTCTGCAGTTTCAGAATCACCCAAATCTTCGTTTGAATTCTCCAGTCATAGGACTGTAAGATCCAGAGCCTCCTACTGTCCCACCCACCCACTCACAGTTGGTCCCTACCCAGTCCTCCCAACCTGCCTATATTATCTACCTTCTCTAAAGCCTCTCCCCTCCACAGGGCCCCCATCCTCTCAGAGTCCTCATCCACCTTCCCCACTCCATATATCCTCCTCCAGTCCCTCCCACCCTCTCACCAAGCCCTCCTGCTCCCTACCTGCCCCTTTTCCCATGCAATGAGTCGTCAGGCTGGCAGAGGGAAAGCTGGGTGTACCAAGTCACTAACTTCCCTAATGTCATAGTTACAGAGCCCGCATAGCAAGGGTACCAGTGCACGCAACTCATTCTACAAGTGTGTTGAAGCCCACGGGGCAGGGGTCACCAATGCTTGGACCCTGATAGCTCCCTGTAAGGTGGAGATTGGGCAGGGGACTTCCTGTAGGAGGCAGCCTTTGGGGCTAGACTTTAAATAGTCAGGAATCAGAACTGCAGAGCTGGGAAGGACCAGGTTGAAATCCCAGAGAGCTGGCAGTGTCCCCAAGTTGTGGTAGTAGGAGAAAGCAGGATAGAGAGATAGGTAAAGAAAAGGGAAAAACAGAAAGAGCCAGGGGTATGTTGTGGAGTCACCACCTGGGTTCTAGGATGACAGGTGTGTGCTACTACAGCCAGTTTATGAGGTGCTGAGAAGTTGAGGATATGGCTCACTTGGTAGTGCTTGCCCAGCATGCACAAAGCCCAGGGTTCAATCCCCAGCACAGCACAAACTAGGTGTGGTGGCACACACCAGTAATCCAAGCACCCATTAATCAGAGACAGGAGGATCAGAAGTTCAAGACCATCTTCAGCTACACAGTGAATTCAAGGCCAGCCTGGGCTTTGTAAGACTCTGGGTTCAGCCAGTCTATGGAATGAACACAGTAGCTGTTCTTCATCAGTTGGCTAGAACTTCTGAGGGTTGTATCATCTGTAAGTATCTTGAACAACTTTCTGGGGTTGGTGGAACATCTTACTAGAGACTTGAACCACTAGGACAGTCTCTCTCCCACAGCTCTGAACTATAAAGCCATTTCCTCAGTTCACACGCCTCTTCTGCCTCAGGACCTTTGCACGAATTCATCCTTTTCTTGGACTTCTGGCTCCCCTGATCCATCCAGCTTATTTGGTCATGCTTCAGAATTGTGACCCACTGTCACCTTCTTAAACTTCTTCTAAACGCCTACAAACCCAAAGAACTAGCTCTCCCCTCTGCCTCTTCTGGTCCCCATGTTTCTACTTTTCATGGGTTCTTACACATTTCACACTATACTTATTTGTCCATATGTCAATCATCTCTGTGATTGGAGAACAGATGCTGTGCCTTCCTTGACCTATGCCCCTAGTATCAAACACTTTGCCTTATATACAACAGATGAGCTGTTCTTGTTGACAGGAAGTGTGCCATCGAGTGAGGGGCCCATGTTGCCAGCCTGGCCAAGCACTCCCTCTTAGAGGAGGGAGAATCTACACAAGAAGAAAAGGAATCAGCAGGGAGGCATCTAGGGGGAGGACTGGGTAGGCAGAGCCACATCTGGTGTGTAGAGACAGAGGCTAGGGGCTCCGGATTCAGGGCCTGGAAGCCTCTGTTCCCTCTCCAGCTGCCCTCACTGGCTCTCTCTCAGGTGCCTTTCTGGAATGGCTGTAATGAGGATGAGCATTGTGTCCCTGACCTTGTGCTGGACGCCCGGAGTGACCTGCCCACCGCCATGTGAGTTGCTCCTCCACACACACATCCAGGCCCTTCCTCACTGGTGAATTGGAGCTCTTGAGGCCTGGATTTTCCTTGTACACCTCTTCCCAGACATTCTAACTGCCCTGCGACCTCAGACAGTGTCCTCCCCTCTGCAGGTCTCAGATTCTGTTAAAGTGAGTATTGCTAGTCTAATCTCTTTAGAGTCTTTGAGAACGGAGCTCTTCCTTTGGACCCCATGCTAATAAACAGATTAAGAAATGGAGACAGAGTCGAGGCTGTAGTTCAATATAGCTCAATGGATAAAGCACTTGCCTACATGCTCGAAGCCATGGGTTTGATCCCTAGCACCTCATAAGGCAGACATGGTAGCACACATGGTAGTCCCAATAGTTGGAAGGTGGAGGCAGGAGGATCAGAATTTCAAGGTCATCCTTAACTACACAGTAAGTTCAAGGCCAGCCTGAGCTGTATGAGGCCCTGTCAAAGGAAGGAAGGAAGGAGGGAAGGAAGGAAGGAAGGAAGGAAGGAAGGAAGGAAGGAAGGAATTGGGATGCTATCTCTAGCTTAGGGACCTTAAAATGGAGCATCCTCTTTGCCAAGTAAGGCAATGCCATTACAGGGGTGACACCTTTGGGCTCATGATTCTGCATGCCAAGTCTCAGCAGCACCAATTCAATCTTCTGATAGACTAAGAGATGATGGGAGGGAGGGAAGGAGGGAGGGAGCGGTGGGCGGGGGAAGAAAGAGAAAAGAAAAGGATTGGGCATAGTGGCACACACCTTTAATCCCTGCACTTGGGAGACAGAGGCAGATGGATCTCTTTGAGTTCAAGGCCATACTGGTCTGTATGTTGAGATGCTATCTCAAAACAAAACAAAAAAAGAAAGTGGAGACAGATGACCCAGAGTTCTGAGTCTTGGCCTCCAACCACAGACCAGGTGATGTCTAGAGTCCACCATCTTACCACCTGGGCTTTCTAATACCTCTGGTAAAAGGATTCTAAGTGGGTTCATGATTGACTACAATAAGGCCAGACTGGTGGCCGCTTTTGTAGTGCAAGGTGGTGGCAGGGCCCTCAACTTCATTGACTAGCCAAGGGGCGGCCTCCTCCCTGTGAGGCCTACCTGAGTCTAGGCCAAGTGCTTAGCCTACACCATGGGCCTCACTCAGATGGGGCTCTAAGCTTGGTCTACAAATCATGCTGGTGCCAAGTTTGACATCTATATGCTGGTTTCATTTCTGAGGTAAGAAAATGCAAGAGACATTTGTATGATGAAGTTCCTCCAGAGAAGAGATACACAGGTTATTTTGTAATTGGTTGTGGGACTTCAGCCCACACTTACCTGCCATGCCTGCTGCACTGTGAAAATGTACAAACACCTGAAATGAAATAAGCCTTGTGTTACCATGGAAGGGTCAGGATGACTGGCTCTGTGTGGATTTTGTATGCTGATTCATTCAATGCTTCCAAAAACCAGAGAAACTTCAGAAAATGATGGACCCTATGTTCTTTTTTTTTATTATTGTTTTTATTTTATGTGTATGCGTGTATTGCCTGCATGTAGGTAAGTGCACCTGTGTCATGCAATGCTCTGAGGAGGATAGAAGAAGCTGTCGGATCCCCTAGAACTGGAGTTATGGACAGTTGTTAGCTGCCATGTGGGTGCTGAGATTCGAACCTGGGTCTTCTGCAAAAACAGTCAGTTTTCTTAAGCGCCAAGGCATCTCTCCAGCCCCTGGACCCTATGTTCTTATGATGACCAGTTAGCTCAGATACCAGCTGAAACATGCTTAATGATTTCATTTTTAGAAAAGAAGATGATACTTCGTCTCTGACCCCAGTGGACTGCAAATGTGAATAAAATGAGATGAACTACCCCAAAAAATGATGCTAAGTTTCAGCATTGGTGAAATGGTTCAGCAGGCAAAGTCACTTGCTACACAAGCCTGACAACCTGAATTTGATCCTCTGGCCTCTCATAGTAAAAGAAGAGAACCAACTTTTGCAAGTTGTCCTCAGACATCCTCATGCATGTGTGCATATGTACACACATAAATAAACAAACATATAGGGGACTGAAGCAATGGCTCAGCAGTTAAGAGCACTGACTGCTCTGGCAGAGGACCCAGGTTTGGTTTCCCAGCACCCACATGGCAGCTAACAACTGTCTGTAGCTCCAGTTCTGGGGATCTGATACTGTCTCCTGACCTCCATGGGCACTGCACAACATGGGTGCATTTACACACATGCAGGCAATACATTCATACACATAAAAATAAAATAAATAAAATTTAAATGTTAAAAAATAAACATTACTAGAAAGATCCTAAGGAGGCTAGCAGAGGCTGAACAGGATATTTTGTGTGTATGAGAGTGTTGCCTGCATATGTGTAGGTGTACCCGTGTTGTGCAATATCCACTGAAGTCAGAAGAGGGTGTCAGATCCCCTGGAACAGGAGTTACAGATAGTTGTTTGCTGCCATGTAGGTGCTGGGAATCGAACTAAGGTCCTCTGCAAGAGCAGTCAGTGCTCATAACTGCTGAGCCATCGTAAATAAAATATTTTTTTTAAAAGGGAGCTGGAGAGATGGTTCAGAGGCTAAGAGCACTGACTACTCTTGCAGAGGACCCAGGTTTGGTTTCCAGGGCCCACATGGCAGCTTAACAACCGTCTATAACTCCAGTTCCAGGGAATCCGATGTCCTCTTCTTACCTCCACAGGCATTGCATGACATGGGTGCACTTATATACATGCAAGAAATACACTCCTACATGTAAAATAAAAATAATAAAATATATTTTAAAAGAAATATGTCCAAATTACACAGAATGGTAAAGAAGCAAATATTCTACCCAGCTATGCTAATAATCAAGATTTAGCTATGCGCTTCCTGGCAGCCAAAGCCAAAAGGAAAGTGAAGAGAAAGTAGGAGACTAGGGAGGTCAAATCAGAGAGGAGCTCACAGGAAGCTGCAGTCTGTGATTGGAGATCAGGAGACTTTGGAGCAAATGGGGTTCTCCCCATTCCTATGTCTTTACTCGAACCCCAAGGCTCAGCTCTACCCCTTGTCCCCCATGGTGCCTGCTAATCACTGGTGGCCTCTTCCACAGGGAGTATTGCCAGCGTGTGCTGAGGAAGTCAGCCCAGGACTGCTCCACCTACACACTGTCCTTCGACACTACGGTGTTCATCATAGAGAGTACTCGCCGCCGAGTGGCGGTGGAGGCCACGCTGGAGAACAGAGGCGAGAACGCCTACAGCACCGTCCTCAACATCTCACAGTCGGAAAACCTGCAGTTTGCCAGCTTGATCCAGAAGGTACAACCTCTGGTGCCTGCCCGGCTCACCAAGGAGGTGTTGGCAGGGGTCCCTGTCTTGAGGCAGAGTCACCTACAGAGCTTAGAAACACCTCAGAATTCTCATGGGGTTGTCATGTATCTGTAGCTTTGAGAACTCCCAGGAGACTCAATGTGTACCAGAGCCGGGGACCACAGATAGAGGGGAGTCTGAGTTCTTCAAGGCTGAGGGAAGAATATTGTTAGCCTCCACCCCAGCCCACAGAAGCAAGCACGTGGGCCCACAGCATGTGACCACCGATGCGCACTTACCCACAAGGAGCTGACCCTATTCTCTGATGTCTTCATTACAGACCTCGGGCATTTCACTGTCACATTCAAGGCCCCCCTCCACTTGCTACTTCTCCCCTCACCCCCACACTGAGTATGACCCCGCCCCCAGCCATTGCTGCCCCCCCTACCCCAGCATGCCCTGCTCATTCATACCTGGGCCCTCTGTTCACTCTGTGGTCCTGCCTGGAATTATCTCCCCTCAACAAGACATGCTTCTGCAGCTGGGTGGAAAGGCTTGCATGCTGCCAACTCTCAGTGCCCGCTTCATGCTGACACTGAGCATTCAACACTACACTCTCAGGAGGGGCTTGAAGCACTGTTGGGGAGGGGTTATCCCCATTTCACAGAGAAGCACTGAGGCATGGAGAGGGCCTGGGTGGCCTGCAGAGGACCACATGACTAGTAAGTGGCAAAGGGAATTCCCCACCACCACCACTCTTGAGTTGCGCTTTGTGACAGAGCTGCAACCTGTGTTAGCTCTCTGGGTATCTTTCCCCAAGTCCCAAAAGCCACAGAGGGCCTTCCATGCCACCCATGTCTGAGCTCTGCCTGTTAAAAACTGAACTCAGGGCAGGGGAGATGGTTCAGTCAGTCAAGTCTTATAAGCATGAGAATCTGAGTTCGAGCCCCAGACCCCACATGTAAAAACTGGGCACTTGTAATCCCAACACTAGGGAGGTAGAGACTGGAGGATTCTGTTTGAAAAGACCAGGCAGATGTCTCTTGAAGGAGGACATACAAGGCTGCGCTATGGCACACACACACACACACACACACACACACACACACACACACATACACACACACAAATAAAAACCCAAGCTCTTAGGACACAACCTGTCTCAAGCACATCCACCCCCCCACCACTACCACTTCCCTTCCTCCAAGCCAGGTCAAGGCTAAGCATATGGGAGTCCCTCAAGACGTGTCTGCTGAGTAGAACATGACATTGCTATAAGCTGTGAGTGCTAGGGGGCCCCAGGGCACCTCCAATGCATTCTCTGTCCTCTTAGGTCTCAGTATTCACATAGGGTCCAGAGTACAGGCTTAGGGGCCCTTCTGCTTGCTCCTCCCCAACAGCACCCATACCTAGCACCCCCCCACATCCCATCTGTCCACCACTCTGGCCATGGAAGAAGCCATATTGGCACCTACCTGCCACTCACAGTTCAGAGCAGTATCAAAGTCAGGAGGGGAAGCGGAATAGAATTAGGTCAGCTGGCAAAGCAGGGAGCCATGTGTCCATTTCCTCCTGATCCCCTCAGTGGGTCTCAAGTAGTACCTCTGAGTGAGGGCCTGTTGGCAACCATGGTCAGTCCCTCTGTCAGGCCCTGGCCCAAGGCAATCATACTACAGTCTCCTGCATAGAGTGGACAGGAAGAGCTAATCTGATAACCTTTCAGTCCCAGTGTTGGGGAGATAGAGACAGGCTGATGGGTCTTTGGAGCTTGCTGGCTCGCCAGCCTCGCCTACTTGGTGAGTTCCATGCCAGTGGAGACTCTGTCTCAAAAAAATAAAGTAGACAGCTCCTGAGGAACAACATCTTAGGTTATTCTCTAGCTATACACACAGACACATGCACAAACGCACATGCACATGTGCACATACACACATGCACACACACACACACTCGAGAAATAGGTGATGGGTTGCTGCCTACTTCAGGAGGGTACCCACTCAGCCCTGGATTCACTGTATGAGGTCAGCATGCCCCATCTGGCAAGAGGACTCTGGGGCACAAAGCCCCATCCTGGTCAGATAGAAATGCATTAGTTGGGGGGCTGGAGAGATGGCTCAGCAGTTAAGAGCACTGACTGCTCTTGCAGAGGACCCAGGTTCGAGTCCCAGCACCCACATGGCAGCTACGAACCATTCTTAACTCCAGTTCCAGAGGAATCCGAAGCCCTCTTCTGACCTCCACAGCATTGCACAACACGGATGCGCTCACATACATGCAGGCAATACACTCATACACATAAAATAAAAATATTAAATAAAATATATTTTTTAAAAAAGAAAAGAATGCTTCAGTCTGCTCACACGTGTGAAAACACAGGAGCCCTGTGTAGAACACCCAAGGAAATGCACGCACTCCACCTGCCTACAGCCCGGCTCAGGCACTGCTGTGCAGCCCCACACCCAGGCTGCATACACACCTTCACACATACACACACACATAGGTGTGTGGGCCCAAGACAGGCACAGACATTTGCCTGGGTCTGACCCAGAATCAAGCTTTGCCCTGAACGAAGACAATACTGAGCTGGGTAAAAAGCCCATCCACCCACCTGCTGTTTTTGTGGGTTACAAAGTATATTAGTTACTTTTCTCACTATGATCAAATATCTGACAAAAGCTACTTAAGGGAAAGGGGTTTATGTGGGCTCACAGTTTGAGGGTACAGTCTGTCACAGCTTGGAAGATAAGCAGCTGGTCATATTGTGTCCACAGGAAGCAGGGAGAGATGAATGCTGGTGCTCAGCTCACTTTCTTCCTTTTTATCCATTCTTGGACCCCAGACTATAAAAGGGTGTCATGCTCACAAAGTCACTGGAGCACCAGACACAAAGACTGTGGCTTCAGGAGGTCCAAAAGGAGGAGCTTCCAAAAGAAAGCTATGTGGCCTCTCAGAGGGTCCCGGAGCCTGCAGAGGCAGGGTGGCCAGGGTCAATTCTTAGGTGGATAAAGTGCCACTCCCAGCCTGGCTTCTGCCCATGGCCTGAGTGATGTCTAGACCCCAGAGTCCCACATGTAGCTGGAAAAATAAGTCTGTTCACCAGATGTAAGGGGGCTGGTGCACACACCTGAGCACCTGTCCACTCTCCCCACCTGGCCGCTGAGGAAGACCCTCCCCTATGCCGTGCATCTGTACCAACCATAACTGGCCTTGGCCTCAAGGGGCCTCTGTGGTTCAGGTGGTCAGCAGATGGCATTCCAGATATCCCAATCCCATAGAGAGTGTCAGGTGGTCTCTCGGGTGGGGTGAGGGACTGGCTGTGTAAGCATGAGACTCAGGTCTCAAGCCTAATGATCACCTTTCCTATCCCAGGATGACTCGGACAACAGCATTGAGTGTGTGAATGAAGAGAGGCGGCTGCATAAGAAAGTCTGCAACGTCAGTTACCCCTTCTTCAGAGCCAAGGCCAAGGTGCAGGCTGGGCCCCAGCAGGGAGTGGCAGAAACAGGGCCCAGAGATCAGGCAGCAAGCAGAGGCCTGCTAGAAGTGGGGAGGCTTGTGGGGTTTTCCAAGCGTAGATTCTTCTTTTCAGACAGGGTCTCGCTATGTAGCCCTGACTGGCCTAGAACTCACTATATAGACTAGGTTGGCCTCAAACTGACAGAGATCCGTCTGCCTCTGAGTGCTGGGACTAAAGGTGTGCACCACCACACCTGGCCTCTAAGTATAATTTCTTGCTGTGGCTGTAGTTCAGTTGGTGGAGTGCTTGCCTAGCATGCACAAAGCCCTGGGTCCCATTCCCAGCGCTGCATAAAACCAGGTGTGGTAGATGCCTGTCATCACAGCATTCAGGCGGTAGAAGCAGAAAAGTCAGGAGTAAAAGCCATTGTTGGCTACATAGCAAGTTGGAGGCCAGGCTGGGCTACATGAGACCCTGTCTCAAAAGCACAGAAGAGGTGGGAGAGCACCCCTGCGGGAGCTGCTGTCTTCACACTTGCGGCACCCAGCTCCACTCTTCTGCAGCCCAGTTCCTCCCTCCCAATCATTCCATTACAGGAGCTTCCAGATGGGGTGGGTGGACAGGCGGGGGTTGTGGAGGTGGTCAAGAGAGAACAGGGCCAACATATCTCTAGCCTCCAGCTCAGGCCCTGCTTCTCCACAGGTGGCTTTCCGTCTGGACTTCGAGTTCAGCAAGTCCGTCTTCCTGCACCGCCTGCAGATCCAGTTGGGCACCGGCAGGTCGGGCACCCTTTTCCCTGTCAGTTCAGCTCCCACCCTGTGCTTTCCTATGCACCCTGAATCCCTGCCAAGCCTGTCTCCTGACCCACCCTGGGGACTGAGGTGGTAGCAGGTGTGGACTAGACTGCTGCCCCTCCTCCTTTTCTGAGGCTGCGAGTAATAAGGCCAGTCCCTTAACCTCTAGAGAGCATTTTAGTAGCAGTTGGTTAGAACCCCCACAGTTCTGGGACTAGAGAGGTGGCTCAGCAGTTCAGAGCACTGGCTACTCTTGTAGAGGACCAGGGTTCAGCTCCCAGCACCCACATGGCAGCTTACAACTGTCCTTAACTACAGTTCCAAGGGACCCAACACCATCTTCTGGCCTCTATGCAGGTATTGCACACGTGGTACACTTACATACATGCAGGCAAAACACTCATACACATAAAATAAAAATAAAGTTTTAAAACCCTACAGTTCTATCAGTCAACCCCTACAGCAAGCCCTCAAGATCAATAGAGCAAGGGCTACTCATCACCCTGCCCCCAAGTTATAGGTTAGAAAAGAAAGCACCTAAGAGATTGCAAGGATTTCCAACAGCACAGCACATAACTAGAATAATGGGGAGCTGGACCCCTGGTCCCATTCCTCATCTGGTGTGCTTCCACTTCTCACGACACCTTGTATTAGTTTGCTGTCTTATGATAAAACCACTGTGACCAAAATCAGTTTAGGGAAGAAAAGCTTTATTTCACCTTACAGCTTACAACTCATCATGGAAGGAAGCCAGCGCAGGGGCTCAAGTCAGGAACCTGGAGGCAGGAACTGAAGCAGAGACCACGGGGGAATGCTGTTTCCTGGCTTGCTCCTCTGGCCTGTGCTCAACCTGTTTTCTTATATAACCCAGGACCACCTGCCAGGGCCTGTAGTGGGCTGGGCCCTCCCACATTAATCAACAGTCAAGAAAATCACAGACATGGCCACAGGCCAGTCTGTTAGAGGAAATTCCCCAGTTTAGGTTCCATCTTCCCAGGTGTTGACAGCTGAAGCTATCCAGCACAACCCTCTCTGTATGTATTAGTTACTTTGCCTGTTGCTGTGGCAAAAGTTCTGAGAAAAGCAACTTAAGGAGGAAAGCTTTATTTTTGTCTCACAGTTTTCAAGAACAGCCATCATGGCAGGAAAGCACGGCAGCTGGAGCAGCAGGCAGCTGGTCACATGGCATCCACAGTCAGATGGCAGAGAGAGATGAATGCTGGTGTTCAGCTTGCTTTCTCCCTCTAATTCAGTCCAGGATACCAGCCATGGAATAGTGCCACCCACATTCAGGGTGGGTTTGTCCTACCTCAATTAACCCAATCTACAAACTTCCTCACAGACATGTGATTCTAGATCCTGTCTCATTAATCATCAGTATGAACCATCACACTCTCCTTGGGCATTTTTCTATTTTTTTATTTTTATTTTTTTTACTTTAAAAAAATTTATTGAGAATTTCATACATGCATATAAGGTGTTTTGATCAAATCCACACCTATTCCCTCCCCTCCAACTCCTCCCATATCTCCCCATCACTTTTTTCCGACAACTTCTTGTAATCTTTCTTTTTTTTTAATGAGGCTTTTTGCTACTCTAACATTCCCCCCCTCTGAAGAGGTAACCTAAAATCTTTTAAGGATTATATAAAAGCTCCTGATGGATGTTGACATTTTTAGCCTTTGGAATGGAGTATGTTGCTAAGAGGCCCAAGGACATTTTGACTTTTAGTCA